TGGGGAGGACAGTGGTGACTCTATCTGCTGACTGTTCACTGCTAGAGCTCATGGAGATGGTCAGGGCCACCTCACCCAACAGAACACCTCCGAGAAATGTTTTTGAGCAGGTCATTTGCAGGTGGCAGGTGCTGGGATTGGCCATCACACAGGAGTGAAATCTTAAGCTTCACGGGAGGATGCCATCTCTTACCCAAGTACATGCATTGTGTGGAAAATGGTTTACAAATGAGTGTCCTTAAATGTGTCCCCTGTGCTGTGCTGTGGGGACATGTCACGTGTATGTAGGAAGGATGCCCCATGACCCTCAGGTCCGTCACATGTGAAATAACCTCTACTATTTACTCAGAGGAGGGTGGTCCTTAACCTGGGTATCAGGACAGCCTCCAGGACACACATGTGGGCTCCTGTCCTACACTGGTCCTGCACAGTCAGGTCACTTGGTTTTGATGAAGAGGTTAAGCTAGGAAGGAAGTTGGAAGCATTTGCCGGTAAGTGGCCAAATCCTGCACCCCTGGTGCTGACCAAGAAGCCAGAGGCTCATCCAGCGTGAGCCTTGGGGGAGGACAAGCATTCAAGAGAATGGGTGATTAGCTTGGCTGAAGGTGACAACTGCTGCAGCCTGCATCACATTCGATGCAGGGGCGCTGGCCGTTCCTGGATTATCCTTTTGTGGAAATAGTCAATGATCAGCACAGGGCTCTTTTGCTCAGTTTGGGGGAATTGTGACTGAAAAAGTGTAGGTCTGTGTGGCAGCCCCTGGCCCACCATGCTGCCGCCCTCAGCAGCTTCTAGCTGCCCTTATCAGCTCCTCAGTTGTCAGAGCTTGTGGCCTCTCTGGCAGCTTTGAGAAGGTCTTCTAGCCATCTTTGCAGACTCTCTGGGGCTCTGTCTATAATCTTGGGACCCCTCAGACCTGGCCTCCCTCCTCCACCGAGTGAGGATTGTGAAGAGCTGTGTACGTGGAGCAGTTGCAGCCCACACATGTGCAGTTGTACGTCTGTGGATCTGCTGGGGGACTTTCCCACAATGGGGTTCAGGGCCAGAATGGGATCTCCTGGTGCCAGTCAGAGGTTTGAGCCGCTGTGACACAGGCAGGTTCTCCTGGAGTGGCAGGAGCAGGAAGGCATTGCTGTCCCCAGAGCCTGGCTCCTGTGAGACCTGAAGGCCCAGAGGCACCCTGAGGCATTGGGGGGTCTTGAGGCTGGTGGTCTGGGCTATCCTGAGAAGGATGGGGAGTGGGGGAGGGCATGACAGGTGACATTTGGGTGCTAGCCCTATGTGGGTACTGTGGAGGGGTGGCCTTGGTTTTTTCTACCTCAAAATAAGAAATTTTGTGCTGATGCAGGATCTTCTGGTTTATTTTTGTACTTGTTTGATTTAGCCTGGAGATAAACAATTCCATTATATTAAACTCTTCGTTTAAAATAGTTTCTGGAAAAGGTACAATAAAATGGAAGTTATATATCAAAAATACTAACTGATCCTCATCTGTGTCATGAAAATGTTGGAAGTTTATTGCAAAAATATCAGTTCATTCAGAATGCCCTTCTCACCTCTGAGAGAGGCTGCATATCTAAAGGCTGCAGTTCAGGGGCGTGTGCAGAGCTGTTCTGTCTTTGCAGTGGGGTGAGGAAGGACCCAGCTCCACCTGTGGGAATGCCCCGTAGGCCTCCTCGTCTGGGGCCGTCCCATGAAGGGAGTGGCCTGGCCCTCACTGACTGGCCTGCTGTCTGCAGAGTCACTGACCTGCCCTCTGGGAGTCTTCAGTGCTATTCAGTGGATAAGGGCGCTGAGCTGCTGAGAGGTCACGAGGTCCACCTAGGGTCACACGGCCTGCAGTGTGGCTCCCAGGGAGGGAGAGAGGACATAGGTGGCCACGAAGGGCCAAGAGATTCTCAGTTTGGAAGGGAGGGGCCAGAGGTGCCTCCAAGCTTGCCTGAAACCCTCCCTCATCCTGCTCTCTGTGAGGAGAAGCATTCGCGGATCACCCCTACCCACTCCAGGCCCCTTCCATCCTCTATGGCGTCCTGTGGCCAGAGGCAAACGGCTTGTGCTCACTTCCTAGTGCCCCTCAGAGCTCTCCGTCCAGCACACAGGTGCTGGTGTGTCCCCAGGTGTGGCGGGCTGCTGCACATTGACCTGGGTCTTCATACCAAACTCATCCCCGAGGGCTGTGGCACTGTCTTGCCCTCTGTCCATCTTCGCCATTGCAAACCAGATACCAGTGTGGATATGCATGGCATGCAGCGTTGGCTTCCACTTTCACACTGAACCAGGGCCAGAGGTGGGTGGTGGAGGCAGGCTCCCACTGAAATAAAGCACCTGGGACCAGGGCCCATGCTAGGGGCAGCTAGGTCGGGAGGGGTGGAGGAGCCATAAGTAGCGGGCCACATCCCTGTAGGGAGGGTGGTGGGGTGGGTGGAGGATCAGGCTTCAAGGCCCCTGAGTGCCTGACAAAGACCATGTCACTTGCTCCAGGGGTCTGGGGGATCCTACAGTGTTTAAAACGGGGTGCCTGGGCCTGGCTTGTATTCTTATATTGAGCTTTACTTTTGTGGCTGTGAGTCATTTCAGGTAGCTGATTGGTGAGAAAGACCATGGGGACCTGTTTTTGTCCCCAGGCAGAGGTAGTGGTACAACTTGGGAGAGTGAGGTGTCAGGGACAGACACAGGAAAGGGCTGCATAGGTGGGTGTGGCTGGGATACCCTCCCCTTTCTGTAGGGCTGTGTCATTCGGTGGCTGTGTATGGGAGCTTGCTTGCGTCCTGTCCTGTCCTGTCCCGTCCCGTCCCGTCCCGTCCCGTCCCGTCCCGTCCCGTCCCGTCCCGTCCCGTCCCGTCCCTTCCCTTCCCTTCCCTTCCCTTCCCTTCCCTTCCCTTCCCTCCCCTTCTCCTTCCCTTCCCTTCTTTCCTTCCTTTCCCTTCGCTTCCCCTTCCCCTTCCCCTTCCCCTTCTCTTCCCCTTCCCTTCCCCTTTCCTTCCCCTTCCCTTCCCCTTCCCTTCTTCTTCCTTCCTTCTTTCCCTCCCTCCCTCTCTCCCTCCCCCTCTCCCTTGCATTTCCCCACCTCCCTCCCTGCTCCCATTCCTCCCTCCTTTCCTCTTTTCCTGGCAGTGTGTTAGGAGAGTTAGTACAGGGTGAAAGGCCAAGGAGAGAGGTCAAAGTCAAAGCTGAACAGAGAAGTGGATGCCAATCCCCTCCCAGTTTTCTCATGAAGCCTTTGGCCAGGCCAGGGTTTGCCACATAGCTTAGTCGTGAAGTGGCCAGAATTACTTTAAACATAAATTTAGGAAAGAAAATCCCATCCCACTTCATGTAATATTGCACTTAGAAGCTGATCTCCCTCCCTGTGCAGTACCCCTGCTGAGAAACTTTATGGCTTCTTCAGAGGGCTTTGAGGCTCTGCTGAAATAGAGTGGGCAGGTGTGGACGCAGGCCCTTTGGTCCTCCTGGCCTGTCATCTGGCCACCTTTCCAAATGAGGTTGGTGACACTGGTGGCAGCTCTGCTCCTCCACCTGACTTCAGTTCTGTAAACTGAGGGCCGTGGAGTTTGCCTTTGGAAAGTCCTCCACTCATGACAGATCTCTGCAGGTGACATCTGAGGGTCACTGGTCAGGCCTAAGGTGTCTCCCCTCTGATGGACCACACCATGGGTGTGGCTGTGTTTGTTTTATTCTTCCTTAGCTCCTTTCAAACTATATTTCTAGGCTCAAAATGGAAAAGCTAGTTCTGGGGAAATATTAAGAAATTTAGGTAAGATTGTACAGCCAGCTGGAAGTAAATCCTGGGTGTTAAGAGTGCAGATCTGTCCACCTGACTCCAAAACCCACACTGGCTTGTTTACGTTATCTTAGTTTGCTGTAAAACGAAAACAAAAAGCCCTTGCTTCAGACTGTCCAAATCAGCAGCAAAGGAAGGCTAGGGCAAGCAGCGATGACAATTCTAAAGAAGGTACATAGCTTTTACTAAAAATTGGCATCGGGAAGCAAAGCTTATCTCCAGTCTGCGTTCACTCAGCCTACCTTATGGAGGATTGCAAGCCATAGCTCTTAATATATACAAACACGGTCCCCAGCTTAACGGTTCAGTTAGGATTTCTCTGCCTTATAATGGTGTAAAAGCAGTAATATTTTGGTAAAATCCATGCCAGGAACGGGTTTGGAGTCTTTTCTTTTTTCTTTTTTTGGCAGAACCAGGGATTGAACTCAGGCTCTTCTGCTTGCTAGGCAAGCACTTATTCTACTGAGCCATCTCCCTGGCCCTGGAATCTTTTCTGGGGCTAGCAGTGTGGTGTCTTGTGGGAAAGGACGGTGAGTCACAGCTTGCAGCCACCCTCCTGGATGGGGGGCTGTGCTCCAAGCAAGTGATGCCTGGTAGGTTGCCTGCGTTAGATGTTTCCACTTATAATTTCCTATTCCCAGTGGGCTTATCAGGATGCAGCCCATTGTAAGTGTGTTCAGAGGGGCTGCATTAGTCACAATTTGTGGAGCTTTTTATCACATTGATGAAATGATCTAAACCAACCCCTTCATATTTACTCACTAATAAATTTGAGATTGCTGTGTCGGGAATGTTTAGTAGAAACCACTGCCCTGCCTGAATGGCTTCATCAAGCCCCATGGGGTGGAAGCATTTTATTTACAGAAAATGAAAGCCGGCAAACCGTCACCAAGTGCATGTTTGCCTGTGTCCCCCTCCCTCCTGTATCCTCACCTTTGGATCTGTGCCCATGGGTACCATGCCAGGGCTTCTGTGTGTGCATTGTCAGGGAGCGGCCCAGGTGCAGTGGTGTGGCAGAGGCCTGGGCCACGGGGGCAGGGTGGACAGGAGGGGCAGGCCTAACCTCCAGCTGGGATGGGCATGCCAGCTCCTCCTGGGAGAGAGAATGCAAGAGTGGCAGAGGCATGGTGAGGAGCAGGGGCCCAGGGCCGGGGCCTTGCTCCTGTGTGTGGGTCCGAGGCATACAGTAGTGAGAGCTTGGCCTGTCTTTGGGTTTCAGGTCCAACCCGAAAGATGCCCCCCAGTGCCAGTGCCATGGACTTCTTCCAACTGTTTGTTCCTGACAATGTCCTCAAGAACATGGTGGTGCAGACTAATATGTATGCCAGGAAGTTCCAGGAGCGCTTTGGCAGTGACGGTGCCTGGGCAGAGGTGACACTGGCCGAGATGAAGGCCTTCCTGGGCTACGTGATCTCCACCAGTGTCTCCCACTGTGAGTCGGTCCTCAGCATCTGGAGCGGTGGCTTCTACAGCAACCGCAGCCTGGCGCTGGTCATGAGCCAGGCCCGCTTTGAGAAGATCCTCAAGTACTTCCACGTGGTGGCCTTCCGCTCCAGCCAGTCCTCACATGGGCTCTACAAGGTGCAGCCCTTCCTGGATGCCCTGCAGGGCAGCTTCCATGCCGCCTTCCGGCCTTCCCAGACCCAGGTGAGACTCCTGAGGCACCCTAGCCTCCCCCTGCAGTCACACTACGAGGTTGTCCTCCTGCCCTGGCTGGCCATGGTCACATCAGGACTCCTCCACTATTGTTCCATTGCATAAACCCAGGTGGCTGAGCCCAGCCTGGAGCAGAGAGCTGGTGGGAGCCCCTGATGAGGCAGCACTTGACTCTTTGCTGAAAGGGTCCTTCTTTCATCCCGCAGCAGGTCTCCTTTGTGGGTAGATCGGCGGACCCCAGAGTTAGCTTTCTTGGATGCTGTCTGGGTGGAGAAGGCAGTGACTGAGCCTACTCATGTGCCAGGGATCTGTGGACACTGGGCACACAGCCCAGAGGCTTGGGAGCTGCAGTTACGGGACCTTTCTGACAGTCTCAGTGGACACTGGAGGTGGTGGTTCTGCTCCCTCTCAGCTCCTTATTGCTCTTTGCCTGAGCCTTCCATGTCCAGTGTGCACTGAATCCTTGCTGCACCATGTCCACTTATTTCCCCACTGCCTTGTGTCCACCTGAGCCCTTCTGTCCTGGTTCTTCATGATTGCCATGGTGTGTGGCCTGCCCTTTCCTGATGGGGTGCTCCTTTCTTCTTCTCCTTAGCTCAGAAGTCGTAATCAATGCCAGGGCCTACTGTCAAGCTCACATCCCCTTCTTCATTCCTGTTTGCTGATGCCACCCAGTGTTTACTACCCTACCGGGGTCACTCATCTTCCTAAGGAAGGATGCTTGGGGACACGGTCTTGTTTGTCACAAGCTTTTAACACCAGTTGCAGCCAGGACACATTTTTTTTTCTTCTTTTCTCCCTTCTTCCCTCCCCCCCTTCTTTCTTTCCTTCCTTCCTTCCATGGTGGGGATGGAACTCAGGTGTTTGCATATGCTAGGCAAGTGCTGTACCACTGAATTACATCCTAGCCCCCCCAACCTCCTTCTTTCCCTCTGTCTCTCTCTCCCTCTCTCTGTCTCTTTCTCTCTGTCTTTTTGGTTTTGAGATAGGGTCTAATTAAGTTGCTTAGATTGACCTCAAACTTGACCTCAGCCTACTAAGCAACTGGGAATACAGGGATGACCTCCCATGTCTGTGTAACTTGCTAGGTTGAAAATGAACCAGACTAGAGATGTTCTGATAGAATCCAAGGATCAGGATTGCCTCCTGACTTTCCTGGGGTCTGCTGGTTGGGAGCGGCCATGGAAGGCTGTGGGTTCTCTGTGGCATCTCTTGCCATCTGGCAACTGGCTAATTGGATGGTTGGTGTACAGGGGCCTGGAGACTCTACTGGCTCCCCATTGAGGCAGGTGCAGCCATGGTCACACTTCGGTCTGCTGTGTGCCTATCAGGTACCCGTCCTGAGTTGGCTCTGCAAGGCGGAGTGACAGTCTTAGCTCTCTTGCCTGGCACCTGCAGACTGTACAGCTCTAAGGACTGGGCTTGTCCCACTCAGCTATGGCCATAGGCACCCTAAGGGGGTTTAGCAGTCTTCCTGAGCCTTTTTGTAATTTTCTGTCTATATTTCTGCTGCTAATTTTTTCCTACCATTTTCTTCAAAGTAACCTGCGGATTGGTGAGATCCCAGCAGAGAAATGCATGTCAAGTATTGAAAGAGAGTTGAAGATTGTGTGGCTCAAGGGCTGTAGGGCATGACCAGGGTTAGGGAGACCCAGGAGGGGGTGAAGCCCCAAGGTAGGGGGCACCTAGAAGCCTCAGGGGTGAGGCCTTGGAGCAGGGTGAGGAACAACTCTCAGTGGTACTGTCTCAGTTACTCTTCTCTCTTTGCTGGGACAGATACCTGACACCAAAAAGGAAGGAAGGAAAGGTTTGTTTAGCTCACAGTTACTGGAGGTTTCGGTCCATACTTGGCTGGCTCCAAGACAGAGCGGCACAGGGCAGAGAGCAGCCAGTTCATGGCGGTGAAACAACAGTGGCAACAGAGAGAAAATCTGTCTCTCTGTCTCTCTTATATTGCACTCAGGCTCTCTGCCCCAGGCTGGGGGAAGTACATATACCCATAATCCCAGCCTTGGATCACCCATAATCCCAGTGGATCATGAGTTAATCACAAATTCTAGATGTCCCTGTCCCATGATTGCATGAGGCTTTGAGGGGGGACAACTAGATGCAAACCATAATAGGTACCTACTGCTTGACCACACAAGCAGGAAGGTAGGGCTGGAGGAGCTGGTAGTATAGTTGTAAGAAGCTGACTGTAGCCCCAGTGCAGGCTGGGAGGTGACAGGGAACTTGGAGTCAGTCACCCCTCTTATGGCTGGATGTGAGACAAGGGGAGGACAAAGGACTGTGCTGTCACCGAGGCCTGTTGAGCCAACTTCAGATCTGTGGGAGCTGGAAGAGTCAAAGGGGAGGGTGCCTGAGCTGCTGAGTGTGGCCGAGCATTTATTAGGACCAGATCTCCAGGCCGGTGTCACTCCCCAGGGTGAGCTGTCACAGGCAGAGGGTGACTTGGGAGCTGATACTGAAGGGTAGAGTTGCTCTCTGCTCTTGCCATGTGGGAGAAGAAAGATTTTTCTAGTGTACAGATTCTGGAGGTCAGAGGTATTGTTCTGGGCTATGCTCAGTACTGACCATTCATACTCAGTGACAGAAACGGGGGAGGGGGGTAAGGTGGGTCATGACAACAAGTAATTCCAGTTGGCCCTTTTGCTTTGGTGTGAATAGGTATGAGTATGCAGCTGATGCTGTGTCCATAGTGAGCAGAAAGGGGTGCATTTGCTGGCTCTCTGAGGGCAAGGCGGTTGCTTCCTGTGGGGTGCACAGCTTGGGGAGCGGGAGGGGAGCAGGCAGTTCCTTGCATCCTTCCCATCCCACCCCTCTGCTCGCCCCATACATAGGTCACCTGTTTTGCTACAGTGGCTTCAAATGGGGTTTTGAATGTTTCGCTTGCTGCAGAGCTAGCAAGTAGGAGACCAGGAGCAAGGGTGGGTGGGCCCAGGATGATGGGAAGCCAGGCAGCTTTCTCTGCACCCTCACAAGCAGACACAGACAGGGATGGGGCTTGATGCTTCCTGTGCTTCCGGGAGTAGAAAAAACAATGGGAGCAAACCAGTAAACAAACTTCCCCCACCCAGTAGTGCCAGGTCAATGCCTTTTACACTGGAGTTCAAGGTACTGTTACTAGGGGACTGCAGGTCACAGTGTGTCTGTCACTCTCCATGCTGTGCTGATCATCCTAGCTCTGAGAGCCCCAGGGAGCCTGGCGAACACACATATTGCCAGGCAGGGCCCCAGCACACTGAGTCAGAGCCTAACTTAGAAAGATTTCCCAGGTGATTCATTTGTTGGAAGTTTTTTCTGTAAATGACCAAAAAGTACTTTAGCCTATATGTGGTCCTTGCTGGATTTTGTCAGTTCCAGGCATTTATATTTATACATTTAAATGAGCAAGTGTAGTGATATCCCAATAAAACTTTATTTACAAAAACAGGCAGCAGGGAGTTGGGGAGATAGCTCAGCAGTCCAAGCACCTTTCTGGCAAGCACAGGGACCCAAGTTCAATCCCTGGTACCACATGCCGTGCTGGCCCCACTCATGTAGGTCACTGAAACCAGGCATGGTGGTGCACACCTATAATCCCAGTGCTGGGGAGGCTGAGACAGGAGGATCACTATGCGTCCGAACTGTGTAGTGAGACCCTGTAACAAATAAATAAATAAATAAATAAATAAATAAATAAATAAATAAATAACTTACTTTAAAAAACAGGCAACAGGCCAGACCCTGCCATAGTTTGCTGGCCCCTGACCTAGAGCATTGTGTAGAGTTCCTAGAGTTACATTTTGACCTATGCCTTTTAATTTAGTTAACTGCAGATATACACCTTAACTTATAATTCATCTTGAAATAGGGCTAGGGGAGAATATATTATGTTCTCAGATTTCCCCAAGGGGCTGGGCTGCAGCTAAGAAATGGAGTGCTTCTTTGGCCTGCACGAGACCCTAGGTTCTATCTCTAGCAGTGCCAATTTTTTTTTTTTTAAATGAAATAAACCAACATTTACCTGAAAGCCCTAAAACTACTTAGCTTGAAGAATGAAAACTTTCACCCCTCTCAGGCCTACTATGCCATCTCTATTTACTTTATATCATCTTGTCATTGAATAAGTCACACAACCATGTGAGCAAGGTAAGCCAGGTGAAGTTTTCCCTGCCTAGATCTCAGGAATACAGGGCACTCAGGGGAGAGAAGTGGGGCACAGCACAGCTGCAGAATGGGCCATCTGTGAGCCGGGGTTAGAGGACTCTCAGCCTGGAGAGAAGTCGTGGGCAGACAGGAGCAGGCTGCAGACCTGAAGGGCCTGGGAATCTCAGTAGTGGAACAGCAGCTTAGCAAGCACCAGCCAGGGTCCCATCCCAGCACCAGAGCAAAGCTAAAGAAAGTACGTGTGTTTTTCCTTTGTTTCCCATGGGCAGAAGTGACATCTGGGTTTAAGTTAAATATGTGTAAGTTGACTCAGTGAAAGAAAGCGCTCTTCAGGTGTGGGGGCTGTCCATCATGGAAGGGGTGGATGCCCTCTTTTGGGCATGCCCAGCCTGAGGCCAGGGTCCCTTCTGCAGATCCCTCTGTCATGTGAGGGTTGGGAGTATGGACTTTAGGCCAATACTAATAATCACCAGAATGCCTGCTATGCTGCCCCTTGAGAACCTCTAGCTTTCCTTTCCTGTAGGTGCTACATGAACCCTTGATCGATGAGGACCCTGTGTTCATTGCCACATGCACGGAACGTGAGCTTCGGAAGAGGAAAAAGCGGAAATTCAGCCTGTGGGTCCGGCAGTGCTCCTCCACCGGCTTCATTGTGCAGGTGACTGGGGGTACAGTTGCCACAGGGCCTGGGCCTGGGGCTGTGTTGACCAAGATCCAGTTCTCTCTCATCCTTTAATGATGCTCACTGAGGCAGGGCTGGCTGCTCCCTCTACCTGAGGCAGGGGTGACCAGCCTGTCCCTGCACATTGTCCTGCCCAGTTCAACCCTCCAGGTAAATAGGCTCAATCCTACAGACCCATGGATGACAGCTACACCCTCTTGGTTCAATACCCACACAGTTGCCTCTTTCTCTTGCGTGTGGACACTATGGCCTTTCCTGACTCAAGAATGGTTGACCTATAGGCATTCCAGGAGACTGAGAACTCCACCCTTGACTGTGTCCCTCCAAGAGGGCGGATGGCCCACTCTTGTGCTGTTTGCCACAGTCACATCACCTGTACCATCCCTGGCTCCGCACATGCAGCCGTAGGTCACCAGTCTTACATCTCCGAACATGCTGTACACCAATGTAGGGCCAGGAGTCAGGATGGAGTGAGGGAAAGGATTCTTCCCCTGACTGGAGGACATCAGTTACTGGCAGCCAAGGGAGCGTTGTCAGCTGGTGCCTCTGGGTGGCCCTGGGTCCCTCTGTTTCTATGGCTGGCCCATGTTCTCTGGAGGAGTTAGGGAAGGACGGAAGCAGCCGTGCCTCTAAAGATCTGGGGCATCACAGATGTAAGGCTGGGAGGGCTTGTGGGTTTGTGGGTTGAGCATCCCCAAAGACATCACTGTGTGGCCGGCACACCCAGGGTTCTCTCTATTGGAGCATCAGCGTGAAGCAGGCAGCATTAGTAACACTGCCCTGGGCAAAGGGTAGCCCTCTGTGTCAATAAGTTTTCTTCCCTGTGTTTAAACATGTGTATTAAGAAATTACTAAATCATAGGAAAGAGGAAAATTTTTCTAGGAAAAGTGACAGGGTTGATGTCTCAAGGTACATTTCCTGCCCTAAAGATGTGCCAGCCCTGCTCACATCAGGCAGAAAAGTGTCTTCGCAGACCCCACCCTGCCCACTCGGAGGAGCCTGCCACTGTGTGCTGGTGGGACTGTGAGCCAGATGCTAGAGTACGTGGGGAGGTAGCTTACGTTTCTGTGTATGTGTGTGCGCACGTGCACATTACTAGGGACTGAACCCAGGATCTTTGCACTAAGCCACATCCTCATCCTTTTACTTTTTTTTTTTTTTTTTCTCTGAGACAGGGTCTTGCTAAGTTGTCCAGGCAGGGCTCAAACTTGGGATCCTACTGCTTCAGCCTGATGGGGTGCTGGGGTTACAGAAGGGTACCACTGGGCCCAGCCGTGTCTCACTCTTTAAGTGCAGACCTGGAGTTGTCCCACTTAGGGATGGCATGCATATTGGTGCTGTGTAGTAGAGGCTCCTGTAGTGTAAGGAGGCTTGTGGCTTCTGTGGTGACGCTGTCTCAGGTCACCAGCTGTCATCTAGATGGAATGGGGCAGCACTGGCAGGGAAGAGGCTCCACTGGTGCTCACTTGTCCACAGAGGAAGCCCTGTTATCTCCCATGGGCCAGATGAAGTCAGTGATACCAGCTGAGACTAGTGGAGTTGGGAACAGCAGCCACAGGAAGGCACCCCTGCTGAGTGGAGCCTTTGCAGAATTGGATTTCCCAGCCCTCATAACTAAATCATGCTCCTAGGCTGGGACTTTTCAGGTTACCGTGTTTCTGTTTTTGGTACCAGGGATCAAACTTCATATTACATTTTGGTGTAGACCCTGTTTTATATTTTCTTTGAAAGCTCTTTGCTGTGCAGTGATGAATGACGCGGGCTCATGACCCGTGGCCTCTGGCTGTGGCCGCCTCCCGACTGTGCCATTTCCTGGTATCCTGAAGGGAACAGAATGCCTGCCAGTGCTGCTCCCTTCCCCTTCCCTGTGACAGCTGCCATGTCCTTGTCCACCCTTCCCAAGGAGATGGCTGTACCTGCCTAGGCAAGCAGCTGAGGAATCTTACATGGGTCTTGTTCCACACTGTCCTCCACATCTTAGCTGAGGGCCAGAGCTCTCAGCTGCTCACTGGTGTTTGGAAAATGTATAGTGACAGGAGCAAGAGGCCCTCAGACTCGACGCTGTGCCTGGCAAGGAGCAGGAGCCTGGATCTCAGACATGCTCGGTTCGTGCTGGCCCGCACCTCAGTTCATGCTGAGAGGAAGTCCTTTTATGACATTCAGTGTCCTGATTAAATTGTATTAGTGTCAAAAGCATGAAAATCCCAGCATGCAATTCCTATAAATATTTTACATTATATAAAAACAAAAAATCCTACAATATCTATAATATCATAAATACTTTATATTATACAAAAATAGCCACTTGAAGACATCACCAGGATATCTATCTAAACAAACACACACTGAAAGTACTTGCATACTGTATTGTCATATATATATATATATATATATACACATACATACATACATACATACATACATACATACAATCAGCCTCCGCTATGTAGCTTAACTTTTTTTGCTATTACCAAAAAATCTGAGGTGGATGTGTAAACCCATTAGTGTTCCTGACTGTTACCTTGGATTGAATTCCTAAAAGTATAAAGCATGAGTAAAATTGAATGAATATTTACAAAGTTTTAAAATATTTATTCATAATTGGCAACTGCATAAACTTAATGTGTCCAGTTGATGTTTTGAAATATGCACATATTAGGAAATGGTGAGATCAACTTCACGGGTTGTTGCCTGTGCCATTTTTTGTAGCGAGAACGCTTAAAATCTTATGGCATTTTTCTGGCACCGGGTACATTATCATCAACAGTAGTCAGTATGTTATACTTTGTTTTATCCACTGAAAATTTAAACCCTATGGCCAACATCTCAAGACTCCCCACCCAGGGCTCTGGTAACCACCATCCTACTTTCTGCTTTAACAATGAAGCCTTTTTAGATCCCACATATAAGTGAGCTTGGGCAGTACCTGTCTTTCTGGGCCTGGCTTATTCTACTTAGTAACCTCCAGGTTGTTGCTGTAAATGATGTGGTTTCCTCTTTATATGACTTTCAAATAGTTTTCCTGTCACTCTCTTGATGGAGATGGGCTGATTGGTGTCTTGACTCTTGTTGGTTTCTCTCTCTCTCTCTCTCTCTCTCTCTCTCTCTCTCTCTTTCAGTACCGGAGATTGAACTCAGGACCCTGCGCTTGCCAGGCAAGCGCTAACTCTACTGAGCTCTCTCCCTAGCCCTTCTTTATTGTTTCTGTAGTGGCCATACTTCTAGGTTTCCAACTGATAGTGCAGATTTCCCTGCAGAAATTTCCGCATTCCACATTGACTTCATGTTTGCTAATTCTTGGGTTGTCAGTGACACAGTTTGGGTTGGGAAGGTGAGGTTCACTGTTAGTCCACATAAAAGTTGACATCTGTCTGTTTCCAGGAATAAGATAATGTCATCCTCACTGTGATGACTTTGGTTGGTGGGGGAGTGCTCTGTTTACCACAATGGTCTTGAGATCTGTGGGTGTGCAGAATACTCATGCACAGAGAATACATCTTGAGACACACATGCTTCCTGCTGCATGTGCACACACTTCCCAGTGATTCTCCCAACCCTATTTGGGTCTGATTGGAAAAATGGATTATGGTTTTAAACCAGTTAGAGGAAAATTGTCATGGCAGGCCTGGCCCGGCCAGGTGAGCCCTTAAGAGGAGCCGGAAGATACAACATAGAGAGGCCTTCACCCAAGAAACAGGCACCACTGCCGGCCTGAAGGTGGAGGAGCCTTATGGAGAGCAATGTGCGAGCCGCAGGGAGGCCAGCGGCTGATTGGTGCCCCAGGCAGCCAAGAAAAGGCTGATGCACAGAGACGGGAACCTCAGGCTGCAGATACAGGAAATGACCCAAAGGTACCAAGGAAGAGCTGAAGCACCAGACAGGAACATAGGGCCTACTCCAGTTTCAGTTTTGTGTCCCTGAGCAGAAAAGGACCTGGGCTTCCTCAGACTGACAAATGGGACTGCCTAAGCCACTGAGCTGTTAAGGAAACTTAAAAGAAAAACCAATGCATAGAAACAAGTGACAAGCCTGGCCGTGTGTGTCAATGCAAGGGGAGCTCGTTGCTCCCTAAAAGCTCTGTGTTCTTTCCATGTGCGCTTGCTGCGTGACCTGCTTCCCCCACTGGATCGATATTAACTAAGCAGCTGTACTTATAATCTTATTGATTGATTGTAGCTGCAACCCACATTATACCCCCCTAGTTGTGCACTGTAAAACTTTCCCTGAGAAGTGGGGTCCTCAGCAACCTGCTTTTGGGTCCGCTCCTGCCTCTCAAGAGCATATCTCTTGTTGGGAGCCACAGAAATTGGAAAATTGGACAAATGTGTGAAGGTGTGACTAGGCCTCGGTGCCTCAAGCAGTCAAGCTACCTCAGTGCACAGACAAACATCCTGACTGGTTACTGTCAGCTATTAGTCACTAGGCAACCTTGTGACACTTAGTACTGGCTTTGCAAAGGTATAAAGGCTTCTGCTGTTATTCTGGGAGTGGTCTTGCCAGTCAGGCAGACAGGCCACCACCTGATCCAGCTCTTTTCTTCTTGCCTGCCTTTTCCTCATTCCTGCCAGCATTTCTCCCTGGGTACAGCAGGGGACACTGACAAACCAATGGGTCCCCACAACCTCTCCCTCTCAGTAAATATTCCCTACTCTTAACCTTTGCTGTTCCTTGAAACTCATTCTTCCATTTTAGAGAACACAAACTCGGTGTATCAGACATCTAATAGGTTAAGAGTTATATGCTGTTTAGAGGTCCTAATATCACTCCTGTATCAATAAGAGCTGGGAAAAGGCTGCCAATAGAGGATCTGAACATTCCAGAGAAGCAGCTGTGTTCCCTGTAGAAGAGGATGCTATCCAGGACCACCTGGGAGAATTCACAGCTGCAGCCACAGAGAGACTCAGACTTTTTTTTTTTTTTTTTTTTTTTTGTCTCCTGTGCTGGGAATCAAACTTAAGGTCTTTGTGCTGAGCTATATCCCCAGATTTGTTTCTGGTCCAGCTAAGTGGCTAAGTTTCCCTAGCTTGGTTGGAACTTGTGACCCTCCTGTCTCACCTTCCTACAGTGTTAGGATTAAAGGCCAGCCACAGTGCCCAGCAGGGCCAGGCTCTTAAAGCTATGCTTTGCCCCTCTGTTGGAGATGAGCACAGAATAGACAAAAGACTTCATGCTAAAGTCTAGGCACACCCTCCGGGGAGCCTTGGTCTCAGGCAGGAGTTCATTTTTATCCAATCCTACCTAGCTAGCAAATCACCTTTACCTTTCTCTATTGCAGAGATAGTATGTGGGCTACAATGGGCTGTTTGTATCACTGAAAGCTCCAAGAGGTTCATTATCACTGATATATGGTAAACCTAAGGGACCTTTACTGTTCAGGACTGGTAATGGTGTTGACCTTAACTGCCAGGTTTGGCGCCTGTGGCCACTTGGCCTATTTTTTCTCCATCCTGACCTTGCCACACAGAAGCATCTGGCCTGAGTCGCCAGCTGATTCGGTATGAGGTGGCTTGGGCCACAGGGCAGCTTTTCACATGCTCCAAGCCTGGGGACGAAGGCCCACCTTTGCTGGCCCCGGGCTCCTGGCTATGCTGTTGGGTCCAGGCTAACTCTGTGTGTCTCTACAGATTTATGTCCACTTGAAGGAAGGCGGAGGCCCTGATGGGCTGGATGCACTAAAGAGCAAGCCCCAGCTCCATAGCATGGTGGCCAGGAGCCTGTGCCGAGATGCGGCTGGCAAGAACTACATCATCTTCACAGGGCCCAGCATCACCAGCCTGACACTGTTTGAAGAGTTTGAGAAGCAAGGTTTGTCATGCAGAGTCCCAGCAAGGCTGACCATCAGGGGGTAGTAGAGGGTTGGGGTATGGAGTATAGTGACCATAGGCTTAGGGTACCAGGCAACAAGGGGTCCTGGTGACTTCAAAGTATACGAGTTCTGGCCACAGTTTCAGGGGTATGCTAGCACAGAGCTAGGCCTGGTCTTCTGGGTACTGTTCTGCGTATCTTTTTCTGTATGGCTGTGGGCATCAAAGGCCCCAACCTGGCTTTAGTGAGGGCCTACGGGCTCCTGACCCAACCTCCATCTCTATTGTGACCTCCTCCTTGGCAGATGCAAAGTGTTGAGACAGAGAATGAGCCAGTGGCCTGGGCTTTGATGCTAGGCTTCTTGTTACAAAGGCTGGGCAGTCTCAGGGCTGTGGCACAGGGGATCCCAGGGAGAGATGTCCTGGCTGGGGTGCCAGGGTAAGCATGCTGACCTCAGCCAGCCTGCAGTGAGACTTAATCTCATCTTCTCAGGGAAGCACAGGAAGCACCGTGCTAATAGAGCAGCCACTCCGGCACAGACCCTTTGTGCAGCGCACAGCTGACATCAGCCTTCACACTGGCCCCTTAGGTGGTGAGCCTCAGGTGCAGCAAGGTGGGGAAGCAGCTGGCCTCTGCTCCTTGTGCCGGGGCTGCCTCTGACACATCTGTGCAGCCCACACCCACACAGGGCTCAGTAGCCATCCGTAGCTAGACTGAGCGCATGTGTATTGACCCTGACCAGGTGGTATGATGGGCCCAGGGGGAGAGCAGTGAGGACTGGCCCAACCACTCCTGAAGAGGTCACATTGAATAATAGGGTTCTGCTGCCAAGCCACAGGGGAGAGCCCTATGCCACACGCGTGATGCATGCATGGCAGCCTCTCTGTGCGTGACAGGCACTCCCTGACTCACACCATCGGCCTGCACCAAGATCTATGCAGTGTCTTCAAGCCTGGCTCAGTGTATGTGTCTGGGCAGCTGGAGGTGACCTGGGCCACTGGGGCTGTCTCCCCCCAAGGCTGTGTTCTCCTGGGAGATGAGAGGCAGGTGTCTCCTGGCTCAGGAAGTTAGGAGACTGGGGAGGGAATCTTCCTCTGGATAAAGGTAATGAGATGTAGCACTTGGATTTTTTTTTCCAAGAGAAGTTAGGTAACAGAAATGATCTCATTGCCTATTTTAGAAGCATCTGGTTACTGAGCCCTGCCATACACAGGCTTTGTCTGCAGTGACAGCGGTGGTAGCTCTCCATCAGTTGTGCCCACACTGAGGGCCAGGGATGGCTATGTCCCCTCAGGGCCAATTAGACATTCTGGGTTGGTGTCCCTGCCCCCACAAGTCACTCCATGTTTGCCCTCCAACTGTCACCCAGGGCTTTCCCCTTAGAGCCTCCTTCCCTCTCGTCTGATGTATGTGTGATGACCCGCTAAGTGTGGGAGTTCCTATGTGCACTTAGCATGCTGTGCTTGGCGTGGTCCTGAACTCTGGGTGGGCCCTCTTGATGAGGTCACTCTTGCTCCAGCTGGCCTGCTGCTTAGATCTCAGCTTTTCCTGCAGCCTCAGGCAATGTTTTGTAAAAGCCTGGGGGTGGTAACAGGAGGAGGACCCAACTGCAGCTGTCTTCTAAGGGCTCCTTGAGGTGCCCTCCCCTCTCCTCTTAGGGTTTGGGTGTGGTGCCTGGGCTCTGACAGAATGAATGTAACCGCATCTCCCCTCAGGGATCTACTGTTGCGGGCTGCTCAGCCCCCGGAAGAGCGACTGTACGGGCCTCCCACCGTCCATGCTGGCCAGCCCAGCCACGCCCCCTGCCCGTGGCCAGCACCAGATCAAGACGAAGGGGAACATGTCCCTGATCTGCTGGTACAACAAGGGCCACTTCCGCTTCCTGACCAATGCCTATTCTCCGGTGCAGCAAGGTGAGCTGGGCGGGGCCTGGGGCCTGCAGGTGCGGGCCATCTGAAGCCCCATTGAAATTCCTGGGCTGCTGGCCGGGTCACTGACTGCCACTCTGTGTGGTATTGAGCCCAGATGATGGGATCCGCAGGTGACCCCCATGTTGTACAGGTGTCATTTTGAGGATCACCTTATCATCCGGGGGCTGTGAAAGGTCTTCTCTGAGGGGGATCAAATTGCAACCCTTGAGAAGCCAGGCACCTGCCTGTGTGCCTGCCTTACTGGAAATCTGCTCATAATGAAGGACTTGATTAGTGAGGGCCTCACATTTAAAGTAACCTACTACAGTAAAAGCTTTAAACTGCTGAAAGGAAAATTGGGCCCACAAAGAGGGGATGTTTACTAAAATATCTGCAGGGGTCAGCTTGTGGGACTGCCTGGCACCTGTGTGCTGCACACTCACTTTTGTGTAGTGTGGTTGGGGGGAGCCTGATAGCTGCCATCAAGGGCCCACTATGGGGGTGTCCAGCGGTGGAGAAGAGAAAGCTGACAGCACTCAGTGCTGCTCAAATTTGTTGTTTGTGTTTAATTTGGTTGTAGTTCAGAGGACTCCATGTCGGAACATGATGTCCCGAGACTTGCCCCGGCTCCCAGGGTACTTGGGCTTCAGTGTCACTGCCCACCAACGTCCGGGTCCCCAGGCCAAGAGCCCCACAAGTGGGGAGAGCTACAGGTGCCATTAAGTCAGCTGGAGAAGTGGGGTCCTAGGAGCAGCAGGGCTGGCTGCTTCTCCCCACCGGAAATCCCCTGCTTAGCTCATGTTAGGGCATTTTTTCTTTAAAGGAAGAGATAGTTTCTGTCTGTCTGTCTGTCTGTCTGTCTCTCTCTCTCTCTCTCTCTCTCTCTCTCTCTCTTTCTTTCTTTTTCTTTCTCTTTCTTCTTTCCTTCCTCTTCCTTCCCTCCCTCCCTCCCTCCTTCCCTCCTTCTTTTCTTGTATTTGGTACAGGGTCTCACTACACAGGCTGGACTCAGTGATCCTCCTGTTTTTAGCCTCCCCAGCACTGGGATTACAGGTGTGCACCACCATGCCAGGTCTCTGTGGCCAGCTCAGCGTGCCTAGGGGCAGGGCTGGTGGGGCATGTAGTGAGTTTTCTTTTTAACGTATTTCAAAAATGTGGGCTGGGGAGATAGCTCTGTAGAATAACGCTTGCCTGGCAAGTGCAAGGCCCTGAGTTCAATCCCTGGTACTAAAAAAAAAAAGAAAAGTATTTCAAAAATGTAATTTTAAAAAGTCTATGTAATGATCAGCCTGTTGGAGATGCCCTGCTTCTATTCATGATTTTCTTTTTTAAAAATTATTTTTGTTGGTACACTGTTGAAATACACTGATCACATTCATCATAGGGAATTTGTTTGTTTTGTACCAGGGATTGAACTCAGGACTTGTCCTTGACAGGCAGGCGCTTAGACTGCTGAGCTGTCTCTGGGCCGATCACAGGGAATTTGTACCTGTGCACATGAATTTTTACTCCTCTTTTTCCCGTCCCAGTGCCCTCCACTTGCTTCTTCCTCTCCTTTCCAAAAGCTTTGTCTCTACTTTTCCTTTGTTTTCTCTTCCTTCCCTTCCCTTCCCTCTCCCCCCTCCCTTTGCCCCTCTGCATTTGAACATTTTCTTCCTACTTCCCAATATCTGTCATCCATTTTGGTCATTATTCGTGGATAGTCGTTTTTCTGATATGTATAAAGGTGTGTTGAGTGACTGCACACATGAATCTTTGGGTGAATCTAAAAGCAGCGTCAGTGGACAGGGACATTGTTAGCTTTCTGACAGCCTATTTCCTCCAGGCTGTGCTATTTGCCATGGGACAAATAGAGAGACCCCTTATTCCCCCTACCATACTGGGAACTGAACCTAGAGCCTTTATACTTAGTTGCATCCCTAGTCCTTTTTGTTTTGAGACAGGTTCTCCCTAAGTTGCTAAATTTATTGGGCTGGGCTCAAAGTTACAGTCCTCCTGCCCCAGTCTCATGGACCGTCTCAGCCAGCTATTCTTGATTGTTAATGCAGCAGGTTTCACTGCTACCAACTTTAAGATATACTTTGCTGTGACTATGGAGAAGCTTGGCTAGCTCTTTGTGTGTATATGGTACTTAGTTTCTTCACAACCTTTACATTTCTTTGAGAAAAGTTTTTTATCTTTTTCTCATTATCTCTGAAAGCAGATTTTCTGCCCCTAGACATTTTTTCTTCCTTTTGTTGTCACTTATGATGAATATGTTTTAATATAAAGACTTTATTCCTGCAAGGGAAAATGTTGATGACTTCACCCTCATGGTGTAGATAGTTTGCCTTCATGGCGAGGCCAGGCAATGTCCTGATTGGTTGCTTAGACTAGCAGTGGTGGCCGGCATGTCCACGTGGCACGTGGAGCCTGAGCACCGCAGGGAACAGGACTTCCAGCTGCAAGGCCCGGGCTGTCTGGCCAGCCGTGCGAATCTGTAGTCAGGTGTGCACAGGGTGGCTGTGTGCTAGGTTCTTGGGAGCTGCGAGGACACTGTGCACCCCGGTTCTCCCAGCTCTGCAAGTGTCCCTCGTGTGAAGTGCCACTTCTAGGGCAAAAGAAAGGTCCCAGCTCAGCTAGGCTTGCAGGTCTGTGCCTGCTCAACTCCTCACCTGTCCCTAGTGACACTTGAGAAGCAGGACGGGTCTGGCCCCAGGTGAAGGTGCTTGTGGGCCTTGAATGAATGTCCTTTTTAGTTTGACCTTGTCAGCTGTCATAATCCTACGAATGAATTCTTTGTAATTGTGGAAACCTGACAGATGAGGGAAGAGGGGAGGAATCAAAGATGTGTGGCTCTAAGGACAAACTTCTCCCATGTGGCCTGTGAAGGCAGGGACAGTGCCCTGGAAGGCTAGACACAGGTGCCCAGCAGCGGCTGGGGCAGCAGAGCACGGAGGGTGGCAGGCCCGCTTGTGGCTCTCCTGGTGGGACTTAGGGATCGTCCAGAAGAAAAGACCCCTGGAGGGGGTGTGGCCATGTCTGAGCAGTGAACAGGTGCCCCCCACTCCTGCCCCAGGGCCTCAGTTGTCCTGAGAATATGAAACAGGTGAGACTCCTTGTTCTTCTGAGCCTGGATCCCAGCTCCAGGGGAAGCAGGCAGAGGCGGCTTCAGTCCTCCTGACCTCCCCTGGCATGCGGCCTCCATCTTCTTCCTTCTTCCAGCTTAGCTGGGTAGGAGTGTCCTGGGTCCCGCTTCTGCCCTACCCAAGCCACGTGGAGCTGGCTTTGAGTCTGTCATTGTCCCTGCACCCATGCTACCCGGGCCTTGAGGGCCTACCCTAGTTCCATGGCAGACCCTAGGCACTCCTTGCCCTGTGGAGATCTTGGGATTGCTCCTCACCCTCTCTTCATCGCCGTGAGGGGGCTGCAGTCCTATTTGCAGGTGGCTTGGGAGCTGACAGTACTAAGCACTGTCTTCCTGCAGGGGTCATCATTAAGAGGAGAAGTGGAGAGATCCCCTGTCCCCTGGCGGTAGAGGCCTTTGCCGCCCACCTCAGCTACATCTGCAGATACGATGACAAGTACAGCAAGTAAGTGCACAGATGTTTGGATGGAGGCAGTGCCCCCGTGGCAGGGGCACTGGAGAGGCAGCAGCTGCTTCAGTTTGGGTTCTAGGAGCTGGGGTACACTGAGAACCCCAGGTTCGGCCTGCATTACTCACCTCTGGAAAGCCCATGGCCTCCTCTCTTGTCCACTGCCCAAGTGTCCCCCTCAGTGCAGTCATGTCTCCCCAAAGCCTAGAGACCCCAAGGCACCTGCCCAGGGCTTTTCCTGTGAGTCCTTGAGTTTTTCTAATTCAGGTACCTGAGACCTGGTGTGGGCTGCGGTGAGCACATAGCAGTGTGTGGACACAGAACGAGGCATGCCATCCACGCAGCACCACCACGGCGTCCTAGGGCCCGGGGAAATCTGCGCTCGAGACAGTGCATCTGTCAGCTCCTTGAGGGGCACCCCCACCCCTACCCTTTTCCTGGCGGGAAGGAGAAGCAGGGCCAGGTGCTCTCTGCACACCTTCACCCAGCTGCAGACGGAACCACACCTGGGACATGAGCCAGGCGCTCCATGCCTGGTCCTGGCTGTTTGCACAGGCTGTTACAGAGAAACTGGCATTTACTCGGGATACACTAAGGGTGCCCCCCCCCCCGTGCTACACATGGTGGGGTATAGAGAATCCTGGTTTTTAAACACCCTATAGTGGGCACAGAGGTGCACGTATGGGTGGAGAATGAACGTAGTGAGCGGAGATAGCGCCTGGAAGCTCAGGAGGGCAGATGGGCAGTGAAGGCACTCTTGGAAAGAAAGAACTCGTAGGCCGGAGCTGTGGGATAGTGGGATAGGGAGGAGCCAGGGACATGTTCACAGATAGGGAAGCAGTGGCCTGGCAGGGCTGGCCACGATGTGAGCTGTCCCAGGACACCTGCATTACTTTCCAGCCTTGCAGTGGACCTAGTCCATCCTGATTTCCTGAGAGGTGTTCTTTTCCTGTCTTTGTCTTAGAACTCACTGTGATAGCCCCAGCCTGCCACCCCACCCTACCCTAGTCTGGAGCTCCCCACCCCCACCCCAGGAAAGCCTGTGACAGTCCATTGCTGGGTCCTGGGCCTCTGGGCATTCCTCCAGGCACATGCTCCATGGCCTTCCATCTCGGCCCCTTGCCCACAGGTATTTCATCTCTCACAAACCCAACAAGACCTGGCAGCAGGTGTTCTGGTTTGCCATCAGCATCGCCGTCAACAATGCCTACATCCTGTACAAGATGTCAGATGCCTACCATGTGAGCAGGTACAGCCGGGCGCAGTTTGGGGAGAGACTTGTCAGGGAGCTGCTGGGTCTAGAGGACATGTCGCCAGCCCCCTGATACCAGGCAGGCCCAGGCGTGGCAGGAGGAGGAAGAAGAGGAGGAGGAGGAGGAGGAGGAGGAGGAGGAGAAGGGAACCTGCTGCCACTGTCACCTGCTACCAGAGACCCCGTGTGTGAAGAGCGTGCTCCTTCGCAAGTGCCCTGTCCATCTTCAGACACCCACAGAGCCTGTGGGGCACAGTGCAGGTGACCAGAGGGCGGGCTGTGGCCACAGAAGGCATCAGTGAACGACGAGCCTGGCGTGCTGATATCACCTGCCTTGTATGGTGACACATTCAAGGTCATACAGGATCGCACAGAGCTGGGGACAAACTGGATGGCACAGGTGTCGGGGAGGTGGGAATTTTCCAGCACTTGCCTCCTGCCAGGAGCTGAGCAGTCTCTTGGAAGAAGAAACACAACCGGTGCCATTAACACACAGAGATGGAGTGGCGAGTGTCCACTCCTGTCCTCTGTGGGGGTGGTGGGAGTGGCGGTGAGAGGGAGCCGCCAAGATTGCAGTGAAGGATGATGGTGTTTTTTATTTTTAAATATATCTTCAGGTTATTTTCTTACTGTCGCTTAAGGTCTACTGTAACAGGGAAAGGCGCCCCCTCTCCTGCCTGCACCCCTCACTGTCCCTTGCATGACCACAGCCTGTGTCTGTGCCTGCCGCAGGTGAGAAGGGCCACTGGCTCCCAGGACACCATGGTTGCAGGCCATGAGCTTTATCACAGATGTTATGGTTGGCAGTTACTTGTTTTGAAAAACTACATAGCGTTTCTGAAACACAGTTCTCTCCGGAGGACCTTCTGCTAATGGTCCTGTCCATGCGGTGACCCTAGCAGCCGCTGCTGCTCTAAGAGGTGCAGGTGGCCTTGGAGAGCTCCAGCCTGGGGCTGTGGTCACATCCTGGGTTGGCTGTTATTTGACCCCAGGGTGGGCAAGGGGATCCCCCAAGACCCAGGCTCTTCGCAGCCCTCCTGCAGGTGGTTGAGGGGCCTGACCGTCCCTCAGCAAGAACAAGGGGCTTCTGAATTATCTGATCCCCCTCCACCCCTGTTTACGGAACCACCTCATTTCTACAGATGCAGAATCTATTCTACTCAGGCTTGGGACGTTTCTCCTTGTTCACGCGCGGTTCCCCCAGGGGTGCCGGCAGCATGCTCCCAACTCCGCGTCCCTCCCACCTGATTGGTGACTGCCCCCACCCTGTGGTTTGAATTCGATGCCACGGATTGTAGGCCACATTTTAGATTGTGTTTCGAAACACCCTTGCCATGCCCTTTAATTGGATTGAAAGCACTTTTACCACATGGAGAAATATATTTTTAATTTGTGATGCTTTTCTACAAGGTCCACTATTTCTGAGTTCATGTGTTTCCAATACTTAGGGAGACTAATGAAAGCTGATGAATTTTCTTTTCTGTCCAAATAAGTAAAATAAAAATAAAAGTCTATTTAGATGTTGATTCTTTGTTAATATATGGACTTGTTTGAAAGGTTAGGGACAAAACACAAGCTGCTATCCCAGAGAACCTGGTGTGTATGAGCCTTCATTCTGGGTACCATGGACCCCTGAGCAGTTGATAAAAGAAATTCACCCAAGTGGTGACTCAGAGCAGCACAGCTGGTGACAGTGGTCCTTTTGGGAGGGTAACAGCCCTATCCATGGCTCCAGTTATCTGAGATCAGCTGCAATCCAAAAATATTACATAGAAAATTCCAGAAATAATTGGTAAGTTTTAAATAGCTTTTATTATAGTATATTGCTGGGGCCAGGGAGATAGCTCAGTAGAATAAGCACTTGCCTGGCAAGCACAAGGCCCTGAGTTCAATCCCCAGTACCTAAAAAAAAAAAAAAAAAAAAAAAAAAAATGGGCTGGGGAGATGGCTCAGTGGAATAAGCGCTTCCCTGGCAAATGCAAGGGCCTGAGTTCAATCCCTGGTTCTGCCAAAAAAACCAAACAAACAAAAAAACTAAACTAAAACATATTATAGTGTATTGCTGTGCTTATCTGAGGTATGCACATACAGGGTTCGGTACCACCCAGTTTCAGGTGCTCACTAGGGCATTCCCCCTGCATAAGGGGGACCACTTAAGCATTTAGGTACCTATCCCTCTGAGGAACTTCCAGGTCTGTCTTCTCTCAGCTGTCCTCTGTGTGTTGTGGGTCTTCTGAGTTGGCAGGAGGGGACATTACACTCCTGGGCAGCTGGAGACTGGTCACAGTGGCTCTGTGCCCCCATTTCCTGGTGATGAGGGGAAGACAGCACTTGGGGCCAAGGGGAGGCTGAGATGACTCACTCCTAAGGTTGTGTGTGTGTGTGTGTGTGTGTGTGTGTGTGTATTCTCCTAGGACAAAATGGTGCATAGTACAGACTAGGACAGCCCACAGGACCTGACGGAAGAACTGCTGCCCAGCAGCCCCAGTGTGTCCTTGGCCCCGAGGGGCGGACATTGGCCCTCCCTGGTGACCAGGAAAGGCCCTATGAGTCAGCTGTTCGTGGCTGGGACAAAACACCTGAGATAATCAGCTGAAGAGAAAGAAAGGTTATCCGCAGCTCATCGTCTCAGGTTCTGTCCCATGGTTGCGGGCTGTGTTGCTTGGGGCTGTGGTTAGGATGAAAATCATGGTGGCTGGAAAGCAGAGAGGGAGGAGGGGCTATGTCCATGTACCCTGTGAGGGCACCCACTCAGCGAGTGACCAACTCCTCCTCCTGAGGCCCCACCACCTTTCAGTGGGCTGAGCTCCAAGTCTTTAGCAAAGGAACTTTGGGAGACACTTGGGCGCAAACTCATAATAGCCACGTAAGTGGTCCTTGTGAGACAAGCCAGCATAGCCTGGTGGAGTGGACAGGGCCAGTGGGCACCTCTGTGCCCCCTCTGCTTAGGTCCCACCTCTGTGCCAAAGACCCAGTAGGAGATTCCTGGCTCTTGTGCAAGACAAATCCAAAGCTTCTGGGCTCTGGGGAAAGCTGTCCTTAGACCCTCAGGGCAGCAGTGCATGGGGCTCAGTGACTTGTGGGAATTCCAGCTGACATGCTTTCCTTACCAGTTCCACACTCCCCACACACAGAGCCTCTGATTTGAACAGCATCTTCCACTGATCAGTGGCTCATCTTCCAGAGATAAGTGGTCCAGTGGTATGGACTTTACACTGAGGGACACTTGCTGTAAGTTTTTATCAATGTCTGTCACATGCTAAATTCTGGGTTCTGCAATAAGTATGTGCCCCCAACATGCTAATTAGGATAATATTCAGGTAGCTTGTCAAGTGGTCACTTCTTCAGCAGAGCTATGGAAAGGCACCCAGACCTCTCACGCTGGCCTCTCATGCCTCTTCGTGGGGCGGAAGGCCTGAGAAAGACTGCTCACGGAAGCACCCGGCCTGCAGCCTGGAAGCAGTGATGGAGGGCAAGGAAAGGACCCTGGGCCCTGGGGCTAGACACCCACAGCCACTTGGCCTCAGCCCTGCCTCTGGCGCAGCCCCGTTGTCTCCCCTCCCCTCTTCGCTCTGAGGCTGTGCTTCCTGTGCAGGGCTCTGTGACTGCTGCCACCTCCTGCTTCCCAAAAGACTGCGGAGCCTGGATGATCCTGTCAGGAGCCAGAGGTGCCAGCTGCCCTGGCTTCCCTGCAGTGTTGTATGCTTCAGTACAGGAGAAGAAAGGCTCTGGGAAGCAGGTGCATTTCAACTTCAAAGACGAAGTAAAACAGTTTTCCTAGCACATGATGCTCATGCTTAAAGTTCTTCTGCAAGCCAGAATTTTCAAACACCCTAGAAGTAATCTCAGTGATTACCAACTTCCACTCTACAGATCTTTCAAGAAGTAGAGTTAACCTTAAGTTCGCCCCAGATGTAATGCTTTTTAATAAAATGAGTGGCTTTCTCTCCTATCCTCTCTGCTTCTGACTGCCCTCTGTAGTTGTCTCCTCCCCACCAGACTCTCCACAGGGGGCAGCCCCATCCGGCCCTCACCTGCCCCTCCAGGTCCACCATAGCAGCTGTTACCTGGCTACAGGTCCTCAAGTCTCAGGAACTGCCCCCTCCACAACAGCAGGGTGGGAATGGACCCTTTTATGTAAGACCTCCTGCGGGCAGAGCCACCCAGAAAGAGGACAGACTTCAGCAAGGGCCAAGAGGCTCATATATGAATAGCACGACTGGTCCAGTTTACTGACTGTGAGTTCCTGCCTTCTGAGCCACATTTACTGAATTCTGATGCTACCTCCCACTGGTGTGGGTCTCCACAGGCTGTTTTAGTCTACACCTTTTGTCACTGTAGTAATATCCTTGAGGTTGAACACCTTTATAAAGACAAGAGGTTGCAGCTTCTGGTACTGGAGGTCCAAGGTCAGGGCTTCATCTGGCAACAGCCTTGCTGGCTATGTCCTAAGGTAATGCAAGATGTCACACAACAAGAGACAGCATGCACATCTGTGTCTTCCAGTTTCTCTCTTATAAAGGTGCCAGGATTCAACCACTGGGACTCCATCCCAATGACTGTAACCAATCACCTCCCTGAGGCTCTGCCTCTAAGTAATGTACTGTATCAAATTTCCCCTCTCTTAATGTCTCACAGGGGATTCCTCTTTAGCAAATACATCAGGGGACACAGGATTCCTCAGGATTTCCCACAGGAAAATCAAGCTGTGTTCTGGTCTGAAGAGGCCCACACATGCCCAGTAGCCAGAAGTCATTTAAAAGCCTTTACTGAGCTTGGACACTAAGCCCCAGGCTTGCGGACTGAGCAAGGTGAGCTTCTGCCACCTCGGATGCTGAGCCACGGAGGCACACAGGCTTCCCAGGGGGCCAGGGCAGTAAAAGTAAAAGCCCTGCTGGAAGAGCCACCCCTGCTGGAGCTGGAGGTAGGAGCATATCTTACGGGAGTCACAGTGGGAATGTGGCTTGGACCACAGACCACGTGAGTGTGAATCCACACCCACGCAGGGCCATCTCCTGTGGGAGGAGCCCAAGTCTGCCCTTAAACTCTAGGACGAGACCACAAAGGCTGCTGCTTTAAAGGGCCATGCCTGGACCTGGGGGTGCTGAAGTAGGTGACACGGGCTCCCCGGGCTATGGCTTTGCACTGGCTCTGTCCTCCTCAACCTCGCCCACCCTGGACACGGGCAGAGACAAGCGAGGCCTGTCCTGGGGTGGGTGATGGCCCTGGCAGCCCAGTGTGTGCAGCAGTGCTTTTGCCCACATTCCCATGCAACACGGCAGAATACTAGACTTGGCAGAGGAGACCCCAACCCCGAACTGAGAAGGCCTGAAAGGGTAACTGCACGGAGATGGCCCCGTGGGATGTTCAAACATCTGGGAGTACTTCCCTGGTGTCCTAGGAAAGGGAGGGAGACAGGACAGTGTAGGTGTCTCATTTCAACAGTTAGAACAAAAAAATATTATGTAACAACCCAGGCTTACCTCGATCCAATCATCTTTCAAACACGAGAGGTTTGAACCTGTCCACTGACTGCCAGTCATGCACGGTCTCAGAAACTTCCCTGGCTCATCTTTCCGACGACGGTGCCCTCCTCTGAGACAGGACTATTCCCAGAATATCCAGCAGAGGGCAGCAGAGTGCAGTATGGCAGCCCCAAGCCTGGCAAGACAGCTTTGGTTCAATCAAGAGACGCCCAGCAGGAGGCTGCCTGGTTTTTCTGCCCACTCGTAGCAACATGAGCCAAAACAACCAACAGGAGAGGGCAGCTCAGGCATATCCCACACCCATCAGGCCACCACCTCTGGACAGTGCTGGGTCATCCTCCCCCTCTGCAGAGCCAGCTTTAAGTAGCCTCGATCCTGGCCTTTTCCACAATGGCACCTTGGAACAAATCACACACATGTGCTTTGAAGAAGCCAGCATAGGCCCTGCAGATGAGGACAGAGGTAATGTGTCCCCCACTCCAATATATAGCCCCCGCTTGTACAACCTGTCCCTGGGATGAGGGGCAACACTGAGTCCACCGGAAGAGGGAGCCAGTATAGCTGGAGTCTGGCATCAGCGCCGTCCTGTTTGGTCCTGTGCTTCTCTATAGCCTGTAGCTGCTCACTGCTGCCCTCTCTGGAGGCCCCTAGTCTCTGAGAACCTCCTCACCTACAAGGCTGATCTGTCTTGGATCCCACTATGGGCCGTGTTTTAACCAGTAAGCCCTAAGTTAGAAAAGTGCTTTGTACCAAGTACCTGACGAGGGTCACTGTGAACTTGTAGGGAATGGGGTTCACTTCTGTTAAGACAAGAAACACTGCAGGAAGACCCCAGGCCAGATGGGGAGCCACAGGTCCCCGCCTACTGAGTGATCTGTGAGTCCTCACATGGTTAGCAGGACAGTAGAGACGAGTTGAGCTAAAAAGTGCTGAGACTGTCCCCCTGGGGGACACCTTTTAGCACATCCATTCAGGCACAGGGGACTATAATGACCCAAGGGAAGGACATGCTGGGACAGTGGGGTGAGGAACAGTGTGGAGAGGGGGCTTTGCACACTCTCTGAATCTCATCACCCAGCAACGTGTCCGGGTGGCAGCTGGCATGGGCCCCAGGCTGCCGAGCTGCAGTCTGTCCGTCTCTGCCCCTTGGGCTCATCTGGCTAAGACAAAAGCAAGTTTGGGATGACAATGTCTGAATCTTAAGAGACAGACAAGTGACTAGTGAGGTTCAGGCCAGGAATACAGGCAGTGCAGCTCTTTCCCCAGACTGCCAGCTTGAAGACTTCTGACAGAGAAGAGCCTTCATTGCTGTAGTGACCCAGACCTAAGGCGCCCTCACAGGTAGCCTCAGTGCGAGCCTGAGGGTCCTGGCGGGGGTAGGACGGGGTAGCCTGGAAAGCTCCCTCTTCTTCACATGTGCAGCATCAAGGGCAGGAACAGAGGCCATGCACTTAGAAAAACAAAGACAGCAGGGGACATTCCTCTCTGCAAAGCTGACTTCCAGGGTGATAGCAGTCCCCAGGACAAGCAGCACTGTCCTCTACCCTCGTGACCATCATCTGCCCACTTAACAGAGCAGGTAACAGTCCCAGGTCAGGGTCCTGAGCCAAGTTCAGTACCACTCCCACTCTGACCTGAGGATCACCCCACCACCTCTCAGGCCACACACGAAAGCAGCACTCCCGTCACCCAGAGGGAGAGGCCTTGCTGCTTCACAGAGCTGTCCATCCAGCGCAGTGAGCTAAGTCCCCACCTCTACAAGAGCAGCTCAGGACTGCAGTGGCAGCAGTGTCCCAGCGAAACGGAAACGGGACCTCTGGCCCCACTCAGCACAAGCAGGGCCTGGCAGCTGTAGGAACTCTGGGCCGGTGGGGGCTGTGGGCTATATGAGCCCCAAAGGCTCTGGTCCAAGGCCAGTGTGGACATTGGGTATGGCACCCTTTGAATCCCAAGTTCTAGATAATGAAAGTGATGTAAAAGTTAACATCCTAACGTCCCAGAAATGGGCTCAGATGACTTTCTAGCCACAGCGACACAGGCAAACCTGTCATCAAACGACAGTGAGCACATTCAAAAATACAGCTCCACATGACTGTCCCATGACCCTCCTGTGACCAAATGTGATACAGGCACACAGACAGGGCTTGTGCCTAGCATTGTCCAGGCCTGTGAAGTACTAGCCAAAGCCCACGCCTCCGCTCTTGCTCAGCTGTTGGCTCCTTGGACATCCTGAGCACTGATGGCCTTCAAACCCCATGTGGGGGCAGGAGAAGGAAGGGGGTGCTCATGCTTCCCCTCCGTCCAGTCCCAGCAGCATCCTCAGGTCCTGCCCATCTCCTAGCCAGAAGCCCCCCCCCCCTCACCTGCTGCAGTGCCAGCTCCTCATGAGTTTGTTGCTTCAGCCTCTAGCATGCATCTCCTGGTGACCTTCCTCCACTAGGACCTGGGCAGCCTGGCCTACCTTGCACTGCCTCTTGCTGACCCTGCCTGCCTGGAGCAGTCTTCACGCTGGCTCTGGTTCCCACCCCTGCCTCGCAGACCAGCCTAGGAGCTAGGAGTGCAAGGTAAGCGGCAGGGGGCCGCTCTGTGAGCCCCGCCCCTCAGGGCACCTTCCTGTGGTCCCAGAGGACTCCTCCAGGTTCATTCTATTCCTTGGGAGAGCCTAGGTGGCAGCCTCAGGCCGGTCAGGTGGGAGCTACACTTGTAATTCACCTGGGACACTGACACTAGTGAGAAAGCAGAAGGCCCTGTCAGACAGGCACGGCCATAGTCCTGAGGAGAGGCAGCATGTGAATGGCAGGACTCAGTGGAAGCCTTGTCTGCCTTGGGGCAACCCCCTGGGCCTCCTGTTTTGCCTCTCTCCTGGGCTCGCTTCCTTTCTGTTCCTTGTCCCCCACAATTCTGCAGTGGGACCTCCCAGGGACCAGGACCCAGACAGTCTGAGTTGGGACATCCTCAGTGTTTGTGAATGAACTGGTCGATCAGTGATGGAGCCCAGCTTCCCCAGTAGGGAAGCTGGTGGTCACATCTACATAGACTGTAAGGATTGAAGGCGGGCACCTGTGCAGCGCTGGCCAGTGCCAGCCAGTGTCACCCCTCAGGCTTTCCACTTGCCCATGTGGGACCCTGTGTGCTAGGCACTGATCTGCTCCTCCTGCCCCTGCACACAGGTCCTTCCCGCTGCAGCCTCTCCAGGCCTGCAGACCCTGAGCAGGATACAGGCCGAGTGCACTCTGAGGCAGTTTCGTGGACAAGGCTGTGACCACATATGCTTCCGACTCTCTTGGCTGAGAGGTGTCTTAGAAGGGTTCACCTCTCTGCCTTTTTGTTCCCTGATGGATCCAGGGTAGAGAGATGGCCACAGTCCAGTCCGAGCCGAGAAGGTTCAGCGTGAGGACAAATGGCAGTGATTACTTCAAAAGGAACACGGATCAGGAGCCCTTGCACATCTGGCTCAGACAGCCCAGGCTCAAGGAAGGTCTGTTCCTACTTGGCCCTCAGAATCAGCTTAGCGCCAGCCTAAGCCCTGGGCCACCCTGAAGACACTCCTCTCCTGTGCTCTTCATCACCAACACTGACCCTCTGACGTCACAGCAGGGGGGAGACAAAGTCACTTGTGTAAGTCAGGTACTCAAGAGATGAAGACCGAGAGACTCCACCAGGCTAGCCACAGGACATGGTAGATTGTGACAGGCCATCTGTAAGCTGGACACCTGGGAGGTGGCAGTGTGGCCCAATCTTCAACCCTTTTTGGGCCTCTGTGGACAACAGTTCCCAACAACAGCGCCAAAGCAGGCTGGCCTCCCCATGTTGTCAGTAGGAGGCACATGGTCCCTGCCAGGCCTGAGCACACTGTACTGCCAGGCCATGGAAGAGCTCTTGCCCTCAGATGGCAGCAAAGCTGCATCCTGGCTATCTCTAATAATGGAGAGGGCACAGGCAGGGTCTCCCTTGTCCCGTGTCCACCCAGACTGCGGAGTGAGTGGCCAGTGCTGGTTTTCAGCACACCAGGGCTAGTCACACATCCGTATCTCGGGAGCCTCAGCTCACCCCAGACACCTAGTGAGTGCCACCCCCAAGCCAACATGCAAGTGCACTGGCTCCCAAGTGGAGTGTCCCAGTACTAACGTACAGAGCTTTAGGAAGCGTATGACCCAAGCAGGTGCCACTCCTGTCACCAGCTTTCCCAGCAGCTGTAAAATGTGAATGCATTTAAGGGTTTGGCTAGGCGCCCAGAACATCATGGCCACTTCACAGACAGCACTGATCGTTACAGATAGGGACAAATGACAGAAGGGCTGGCAGTAACAGGCAAATGTGTCGTTACAGCGCAAGGAGAAACAGTAACGGTGCAGGCCCCAGGGGACAGGATGGCGGCCCAGCCTCAGATCAGCCACTCACACCAGAAAGACCCAGAGGCTGTAGCCGCCACCAGACGGCGCTATCTATAAAGCATCTTTTTCTTTATTTAAGTTAAACAATTTCAAGGATGGTTTCCATCTATAAAATGGACAAAGTACAAGCTCTGTACAGCAGTTCTTTTTAAAAATCAACTGGAAAAAAATTACCAAACTATATTTTAAATTTGCAAAACACACCCACAGATACCATCATCTCAGCTTTGAAGGAGACACAAGGACCACAGAGGATGACTGTCTGCGTGCTGCGCTCGGACAGGTCTTGGAAAGTTTGTTTTTAAAAACAGGAGTGGGTGGGTGGGACAGTCCCAAGGACTACAAAATAACATGAGCACAGTAAGTCACTTTGGCACGCTGTGTCCTGTAAACGGGGATCATCTTGGGGACTGGCCCAGAGGCCTCGGCTGGGGCCACCCACGTGGTGCCCCCAAGTGGCCAGACAACACAGCAGGGGCACAGGTGACAGCTCAACAAGCACCACCAGAAACCAGCCCCGTCTGCCTCCCATGGGTGTGTGTCTGACAAAGCAGCTCAAAGGTGACTGGGTGTGACCAGGGCCCAAGTGCCAGGGTGAGCAGCACAGACCCCACCCTACCCTGCTCTGCGGCATGAGCCTCCTGCACCCACGTGAGATCTCCCCGGGGGCCCAGCCTGGAAGACAGCTGATAGTCCCTGTCTCTAAGCTGCATCTTGTTGCCTGGCAGGGGCAGCAAATGAGACACAGGGCGGGCCCACAATCAGCTGTTCCCACGTGGGGTGGCCGTGGAGGGACACCAGCAGGAAGAGTGTGCATCAGCGACTCCCAGCTGCCTGTACCTCCAGGACCTCCACAGCTCACAGGCACCTTGAGCCCAACCAGCCTCTGAGACTGGACATCTTCATGGGTGGGCAGGTGGCAGGGCGGAGACCACGGCATGATGGCCCGGGGCCGTGTCATGACAGGGGCCCTGCAGAGACATTCCTGTACAGGAGGTGCCTGGGTATCTCTTTCTACTACCGCAGCCAATTCCACTCCACCTGAAGCTCACTCACGGTGTGTGGCCAACTCACAAGGTCATGGTCCTGTACAGTTGACTCCTCCCAACTCTACCCATGTCCCCAGGCGGCCTCGTGTACAGGTACTGGGTAACAGGGCACCAGCCAGATGTGCAGGTCAGGGTGCACGGCCAGCACCCGGCCTGCAGGTGTCAGTTCTGACGGCCTGCTGCACATGGTCTCAGATTCCCACGAGCGTGACATGAGCACGTGACAGCTGTCTAGGGTCACTGACCTGCCCTGTCGGAGGGCAGTGGAGATACTCCCAGCTCACATTAGGAGCTGCGGGATTGGAGTTTTTTTTCCCTAAAGAAAAAAACATTAATTTAAAAAAAAAAAAAAAAAAAAAAACCACAAAGCAATATTTGCCAAAATAAGGAACCTATCTGGGTTTATGGACACCAAGAGACACAAGTGGATTTTCCAACACAGCACGACTCCCATGTGGAGGCCACACAGAGGTGCCCGTGGGTGGGGCCAGGGTCTGGGAGGCCTCTGGTGGCCACAGTAGTGCCTCGTGGGTATGAGGCTCCAGGGTACAAAGGAGAGGCGGCCCCTCCCCCAGCACACTCTGTGCCGAGGGGAGAAGCGACATACTGACTGGGGACTGACCATACATTCTCTTTTGTATATATTTATATTTAGTGTCCCACCATAGAAAAGTCACGTTCAAATACACCAAGCACATCAGTGGGAGAGGGGGCGACGGAACCTGCAATGATGTGAGCCGTGTTGTGGGACCCACGTGGGGCGCTGATGGGATCGGATGGTGGTGCTGAGAGTTCTTGCACCCTCCTCCCTCTGCCACCATGCCCACACAGCTGCTTCTTAGCCGCATGCCTCAGCCGGGTGGCTCCTGGCTACTGAGCGAGAGGAGGAGGGCGGCCACAGAGGGGCCAGCTGGGCCCGAGCAGAACGGCTGAGTCTTTCCGGCCGCCACTGTGTCTGTCAGCACAGCTGCGCCTTGCTGGAGCTCTCCGGCTTTCAGACCATGATGGAATACTGAGGTATATAGTTTCGCGGAAAGTTTAAGAAACATAATCGATAAAGCGATCACCAGCTTGGCCAGTGGTTCGGCAGCAGGTGTGGGCTCCAGGCTGCTACTGCTGCAGGTTGAGCGAGAACTTCCACTGCTGCGAGAGTGCCGGGCCGCATACCTCCACACTCAGGCCCCCGCTCTTGGCCGTCCGGCTGTCCAGGCACAGGTTGCTACCGACGTGCCGCAGCTTGGAGTTGCTCTCGATCTGCTCCCATTTCTGCAAAACATAAGAACATGGCTTGGGGATAGGGTGTGGGCCAGGCCAGGCCCCAGTGGGTCCCTGGCTCCACTCAAACAGAAAAACTCTTCCTCTCTCAGTCCCTGACCATCAAGAACAAGGGTCAGCAAGAGCTTCAGCAAACTGGCCCTAGCGTGCAGAGGGTAGAAGGGAAATCCAGGTTCTCTGGGTGCAAAGCTCAAAGCCCCCATCCCTCCTCACTGGGCCCCAGGTCTGGGCACCTTTGTTGGTTATTAGGTTATTAACATGAACACTCAGGCATAGGAGCCTGCACACGGGTGGCTGATGTAGTAATGTCTCACCCTGTCACAGTCTCTGGGAAGCCCCAGCTGCAGGAAGCCACCTGCCAGGTGGCCTCAGAGCACCTCTGAGTATCCACATGGGGCTTTGGACCCAGCAGAGCCAGGAGTGGAGTCAGGTCCCCAACAGGAGAAAGATGCTATGGGAACAGGCTGCCCTGTGGAAAGGGTCAGATGCTGTGCTGCTTGGTCATGTGCAACTGCACCGTGAGGACCTACGTCTCCCTTCCAGGAGGCCCAGCACCTGCACGGCAGAACCAAGCGAGTCCAGCGCTGAATGCACACTGGCAGGCACAGGCCATAATCACAGAGCTCCTTCCATTCACACATGGCCACGGACCAGCCACAGAGTAAATGACGCCCATCACAGACTCACGGAAATCTGAGGTTCCCTTGCCCATGTTTAGTAAGGGATGCAAATATCCCCATTTTAAAATCTTTAATGTTCGTTCTTAAAAGACATATTTTGCCTGGTGTGGTGGCACGTGCCTCTCTCCCAGCACTCAGGAGACTGCGGCAGGAGGGTCACTGCGAGGTTCAAGGCCAGCTTGGGCCACAAAGTGAGTTCAAGGCCAGCGTGAACTACACAGTGAAATCCTGTCTCAAAAAAAGACAGAAATGAAACAAACAAACTAACTAAAATACATTTTTTTTCCTCCTCAAAGCTCTTCCTTCATTAGCAGAGATTGTGGTTCTAATTAATTTTTTACACTGTCTGCACTGAAGCTCCTTTGCGTATTTAGGCAAATCCTTCTGACACTGTGGAATTCAATTTCCTCATTCTTGCCTCCTTTCTACTCTGACTCTGCAAACCCACACACAATATGAAGGCATAGACGTGCCTGGAAACTCAACATCTCTGGGGTGGAGGATGCACCCCAAGAAGCGCTGAGCAGATGCTTGCTGGAGGCAAAGGATCGAGGGCTTGGGTGGTAGGAGAGGCCCCCACAAGTGTGAGAGGATGCCCTCCTGACCGCTGCTTGTTTATGCCCACCTGCTCCCCTAGAGTCCCTGGCACTTGCCCACCCCTTCCTCAGTCCCACCAGCTCCTGATTCCCTGGTTTGGTACAACGAGGCTGCCAAGTCCTCTGAGCAGGTCAACAAAGAATCCAGAAGAACAGAAACTGCCTCTGACCTCTGCCCTCAGGGCATGTGAGCTGAGCAGAGGACCTTTAAGAAAAGCCAGCTGTCCTTGAAGGGGGTTCTATCAGCTCTGATGTGTGTTGGGTGGGATAATGTGAACAAGCCCTCCCAAGTTGTAATTCTGGAGCTTGGGGTACAATCCAAGAGATCCTGTGACCCACATCCTATACAGGAAGGCCAACTATGCACTGTTCCCATCTCACAATGTCTTCACGGGTCTAGTTAAAGAGCTCAGACTACAGCCGAAATTCTTATCAACTATCCAAGTCATACTGAAGGCATCACTACCTTACATCAAAGACATTTCTGCCCGTTATGGTAGGGGAAATGCTGCCTAGGTTCAAGGTGAGATGGACCATTTGGCACCTCTGATGCTGGCCTGGCTGGTCCTGGGGGGTCTGGGTGCAGGGGATGGTGGCTGTCCTGTCTACCAGCCATGCCTCTGGGACATCATCCAAGCCAAGTAACTGCATCAATGCAGACAACCATTTATCTGGTGAGCAGAAGGCAGGCACTGGATCCCCAAAGCCAAGCTAGGCTGAGCTTGTGCAGAAACACAGGGCACTCAGAGACGGGCACAGGGACTCAGAGACGATGGGGGAAAAGGGCCCTTTGCATGCACTTCCCTGACCACTGGGATCTACAGAGAGACTGATCCAGTTCTCCCAGCCAGTATGGCTTCCTCTTCTGTGGAATGCGTGTTGGACTAGAAACCTGCTGGCTTTCAGCTGTAGTAGCCTCCGTGCCTCAGTTTCTCTCCATGTCAGCTATCTCGTGAGGAGGGACCACAGGAAGATGGGCCAGCACCCTGCACGGGGCATGCAGGCCTGTCTCTGTGCTTGCTTTTCTATTCCTGACACTGCTGCCCAGGGCTCCTGGCAGGAGGATGCTTCCAAGTTCTCACCGTGGGCATATCTGATAAAACCATCTTTTGGGATCTGCTAGTATAGCACTCTCTCAACTGATAAAGAAAAAGAAAAAAAAAAAAAAAAAGGCAGCACAAGACACTGCTAACCTACAGCAAAGCTGTGTCCCAAGGAATCCACAACAAGCCAGAAATAGTGATATGAAAACATTTAAGACACCCAACGTACTGGGTGTCTCAGCTCAGCACACAGCACACGGCACACGGCAAGGGCCTGGCTCACTCTCACCATGGTCAGGGCTGACCACGACCTGCTGCCCCTGCTTAGGCCCTCAAGAGAAGATCACACCATGTATCAGCAGCCTGGAAAAGACCAAATTCAAGCATGGTCTCTAGTGAATGTGGACCACTTTCACACCATTCTAAGCAGACCCACAAGAATACACTGTCTTGACACATGTGGGTGCAAGTGTGGACGTGTATGAAATCACATCCACTTGAACTTTAATTATTAAAAATTTCTGTAAATTTGAACAGGAAAAACATGTAATGAACAAACACAAACATGGAATTTGTCTTTCAAATGCTATCTGGCATGGGGAAGAGAATGTGAAAATAACGCTAGTCCTCCAGCTCAGGTAGGACAGGTGGCTGGACGCCGTGCAGGGGTGACGAGGGGCACACACGCACACACAGCCGCCACACAGTGGCTGGCACACCCACCTGTCTGCTGTCGTTCTCCCGGCAGCCCTGCAGCTTGACGAGGGCGCCAGGCGCCCGGTCCACCACCGTAAGGCACAAGTCCATGTGCTTCACTGACTTCTCCTTCGTCAAGGCCCACTCCTGGAACACAGAACCCCGGGCAGAACACGCCACATGGGGGAGACAGGCAGAGTCGCGAGGGTCCCACAGGGAAATGGGTGGTGCTGGAAGGAGATCTAGAACCTACCCTAATCAGAACTACTGAAGTACTTTCAGCCTGAGACCAGCCTACAGACAGGCTGCTGCCTTCAATGTACAACCCTAAATACTCATTTGGCCAACAAGAGCATAAAGTGGCTTGCAAAACGCAGTAACTAAGATTATCAGCATAAGGTATTGGATCATAGACGCACTTTTTTTTTTTTTTTTTGAGACAGGGTCTTACTAAGCAGTTCAGGCTGGGCTTAAACATATTATGTAGCCCAGGCTGGCCTCAAACTCACGGAAATCCTGTCTCCTCCTAAGTGCTGGGATTAAAGTGATAGCACCTGGTATTTGTGCCCCAAATGTGAGTCACAGTGCCAGGTTGCGCTTCTACACTGGCATGTAGGCCGCAGAAACCACAGCGGCAGCTTTGCGGCCTATGAGGTGGGCGGCTGTCCAGCTGTCCACCCTTGCTGCTTCGGTATCTCTGAGCAGGGATGGTCTGGAAACAGACTTACACATCTAGACCAAATTTCAAAAATTATACAGGACTTGCTACAGATTTAAGTAAGCTGGCATGAGCCTCATGGTGGGGTGCCAACACTCCCAAGCCCTGCGAGCAGGCAGCAGCAGTCTGTGCACGACACAGCGGGCGGCGCCTGTCACTGGCTCTGTGCCAGGCTCTGCTTTAGGCATTTGATGAGAAGGCCCTGTGCAGAGCTCTGATAGTCTCAGTTTACAGACAAGAAAAGTGAGCCAGAAAGCACTGAAACCTTCTCTTCTGTGTGCTGAACAACACACTCACGTGTAAGTGTGCAAGCATGCACATCAGGGGTTGAGATGCGGCTGTTTACACTTAAATCCATAAGATTAAGTAATCCCAGCACTTTGGAGGCTGAAAACAGGAGGATCACTATGAGTCCAATCTGTGTAGTGAGACCCTGTACTAAATACATTTAAAAAAAAAAATTAAAAGTGAAAACCTAGCTCACACTAGTCACACCTGAAGAGCCTGCGTCCACATGTGGCCAGCTGGGGCTGCAAGGGTTACTGCAGATCAGAACGTTCCCTCTGGAGCACACGATCTGCTAGTCAGTCAGTGCCCAGGAGGCCACGGCTCCATGACACAGGTGGGCCATGTGCTAGGCATCCCCAGGCGAGTGGCCACTGGGATCAGTGCTTGACAAAGTTCTCTAGCAGATTCCTGTGTGTGGCCCTGAGACAAAACAGCAGGGCATGACACTTTGGGTGATGAGCAGGTCTCAGCACACACCTGCTGAGGCGAGGAGAAAGGACCCAATGAGCGGCAACACCCCACTGCAGCAGGAAGGAAGCAGAGGCCAGTGAGGAGGGCAGCCTTTGTGGGTCCTACTGGACTGACTGTCCCCAAGGATGCCCTGGCACACATGTGATGCCACCTGCCAGCCAAGCTCTGGGCAGTGGCCACTGCTCGTGCTCCAGAACCCACATCTGGGGTCAGCTGCTCTGGTGGCCTCCCATAGTCTGTCCACAAAAAGCTGCCTGACAGCAACATGTCACCAGTGGCCTCCTGTGCCTGTGGACAGGGTAATAGTGGTTCGTTGTCCGAGCCAGTGCACCCTTGCCTCTGAGGGGGCAATGAGAACTAGAGTCCTGGAGCCAGAGCCATGCCTGAGAGCGGGCGGGCAAGGGATGGTCACGGGCGATGAAGTGCAAGCAACACCTCTGCCTGCTGCTGACCTGCAGCCACTACAGGACTCTTCCTGGGTGAGCAGCTAGGGCAAAAGGTGTGGCCCACACAGGCGTAAGTCCACTGCAGAGCTCGGGCAGACGGGCTGGGACACTGGCCCAGACTCTCCCCTCTGTACTCTGCAGGGTAGGCCTGCCTCACCCCACAGAGCTCCTGACAGGAGGCCTGACCTCTGATGGTCGTGCTCTGCCAATGCCATCATGGAACTCAGCACCAAGGAAGAGGCAAAGCCAACAGGAACAAGGAAGAGTCTGAACCTGGCAGCACAGGCTGACAACGGCTAACATACCTGTCCCTGTGCTTAGTGCTTCCCGCATGCCAACGCTGAGGCCCAAATAAACTGAGGCTTCCCATAGAGTGTACAGAGCCAGGCAAACTTATATCAGAACAAGAACCACACGCTTTGCTGGGACCTGCTGTCACCACCAATCCTGTGAGACTGTGGTGGCCTCCAGGCCCCTAGGAGCAGCAGCAAAGACCACAGTGCCCACGCATAGGGATTCCAAGGGGCACAGCATCTTATTCCTCCAAGACACTCCTGAGAAGAGAATACAGATGGGGACTCACATGCCACAGGCCACACAGGGGAAATGTGAACTGAGCCACAGCCAGAGCCCGGAGCCTGTCCCCTGGGCACATCCTTAGGCCGGGCACCTGAGAAGCCAGGTGAGACGGCCTGGTGATGGTGCACGTGTGCTGGGAAGCAGCAGAGGGCCTGACACCTGCACTGGGGCCAGGATGGGTACAGCTGAGCCCTGCAGACCCACCCCTTGTGTCACTCAGTGTGCCCAGGCCACCGCCCACAGCCCCTGAAAATGGCTCCAAAATGTGGGGGAGGCAGCAGGAGCACCTGGGGATCATGACTCCCATGCACTGGGAGGGTCTGCATCAACCAGTCGCACAAAGTCATTTCTATTGAGAGCAGGGTCTGAGATCAACACAGCTGGATTTATGTTCAGGTTAGCTGCCTTTTCTATTGAGGCAGACCCAAGGAGTCGGGCAAAGTTTCAGACGGGGTCAGAGCGCTCTGCACTGCTTTCTGGGCAAAGGAGCCTGTGTTCCCGGCCTCTGAAACACCAGGCCACACTGGGCCCCCGAAGGGTTCACATTTCCCTCTGCAACGACGGGAGCGGCATGTGTAAAACTGAGACAATTAATGGCTCTTACCCCTTAAGCTATCATCATCTAATGGGACAACAGCTACAGCAGCAGCCACAGTGTCTAGGGCCCAGCACCTCCTATACTGGGACACAGGTGTCTACACAGCATTCAAGTACAAACCTGGCTGCGAATGCAGAATGGGTGTTTTGCAGGCACGAGCACACAGCACAGAGGTCAAAGTCAGCATAGAGAAAGGGACGGAGATCACCAGCCTATACAGACTGCCCCTGGCCACTGCACAGAGCCCAGCCTGAGGCTAAGGACGGGGTCACTGAATCAATGCAGGTCCACAGAGTCCCAGCTGATCCTGAGGCTCCACAGAGGTGGTGACTAGCAGGGATCAGACCCTTTTTGCAGGAAGAAGGCAACAGCCACAGCTGTGTCCCTAGGACCTGCCCTGCGCCTCTAGGCCTGCAGCTGCACACCCAACCACATACACCTACCTGGTTTCCTCCAGCATTGTGACACTCGTAAATCCCAACAACACCATCAGCAAAGTGTCCCAGTGTATCAAGGCAGTTGGTCCCTTGCTGCAAGGCCCCAAAAGCAATGTCTTGGTGGTCAGGAACCCTGAAAGGCAGTTGAGACCACTGGTTAAATCCTGGAGCTCATCGTGGTAGTGGGAACAAGAGAAAATGGGCCACTAGGCCCCACATCCTGGTACGGAAGGGCTTTGGCCTCTGTGCTTCTAACACTTTAAGATATGAGTAAGAATTCTCTTATGGTTTCTGTGCCAGGGAAGGTTCTCTGGAAAGGAATGGCTCCTGACATGAGTGCTGGCTGGACACTTAGCATACCAGTCAACATGGTGCCACACAGGCCCTCCACCCAGTGCAAGGGCATGTGTTCCTTGGGCTTTGCCTGAGTGGACCTGCAGGTGGCCCAAGACACACAGAGCCACAGGCTCTAGCACAGTGAGGGCTGTGCAGCTGCTTAGGTAAGGATCACTCTAAACCTCAGTGTGCTCTCCCATCTGAAACCCACTGACCAGGCTGGCAGGTAAACACCTCAGGGGAAGCCCTCACCCTAAGCCTGTTTACACGGAACGCTTGCCAAATGGTGGCAACTGTCACAGACACACGCGCTGGTGCCTCCCTCATCTGCCAGCAGGGCTAGGGTCCAAGGAGGATGTGAAGAGCAGGGCCAGGGGCCCAGGGAGTGGTTGTGAGAGGGCTCAGGGCCAGTGCCACCCCAAATGGTGGGTGACCTCGGTGAAAAGATGCATCATCATTTGGCCTGATACTTCTACCTGCCAAGCCACAGGCAAGTGTGGCAGCAAAAAAGGCTTTTGCCACTGTGGGACTGAAAACACTCCCTGAGGCCCCTCCGCTGCAGGACAGATGATAACTGGGTCTACCCTGATGGCCATCACTGCACCTAACCCCAGGGATGCTGTCCTTGATGGAGGGGATCAAGCTGCCTGCTGTCTCTTTTACCACCTTAAAAGTGGAGGAGACAGCACTGAAGAGCCATGCCATGGCCAGCAGACACAGGGAAGCCTCGTCACTGACTCGCACGTGCACCCCCACGAGGCTCTAAAGGAGCCGTCAGCAGAAGGACAGTGGTGGCTATGCTCACATTCCCAGTCTCTGTGCACAGATGAGCAGGCTGCTGTAAAATGCTCTGGGACATCTAGATATAATAGCCCAGAGGTGCAACCTGTGTGACAGTCCCTTGATAGGATGGTGCTGAGCGAGCCCTGGTCTCCTGCAGTGTTCTCAGCGCCCCTCAGGCCACAGGGCCTAAAACAGCTTGGCTGGAAGGCAAGGTGGACAAATGAGGTTCAGAAGACACTTCTGCGCGGACCCCGGTGCAGTGGGACAGGGCCCCAGTGCATCACATGGCAAAAATGGCCTGCAGGAGGAAGGCCCCTGGCGGCGACACCCTGCACCTACTTCCTCCTCCATCTCTCTCAGCCATTGAGGCCCTCTGCCTCTTCACAGTCACAGGTGAGCGGAAGCAGCCAGGAGGGAAGTGAGATCAGGGACCACTGGAGCAAGGGACCTGTCCTTAAAGAGTCTTGGGGACAGAAGTGGGGTCAAGACCCACTCTCCATGGTAGCCGTGGTGAGGACTGCGAGCCCTCCAGACAAAGCTGCAGTTCCTGGGACTCACCGCAACTCTGGGTAGACGTTCTCCAGGTACCACTGGAAGGGCCGGCAGCCAAGCCGCTTCCTGAGCTCCAATCTGCTCTGAATGCTGGGAAGAGGGAACACATCCACTGTGAACATCTGCCATAGCAGCAGGCTCGGCACGGCGTGTGGCTCAATCTATGCAGGCCTTGCTGAACGCCACCCTGCCACCCACACCCAGCCCTAAGCAAAAGGTCCTGTTGTCTCCTGGGAGCACCCCTCCTCCCGGGCTTTCCAGGCAACATGAGAAGGCTGAATACACTTACTTCCCATATGGAACATTTCTGGCGGAAGGCACTGCTGCATAATAGAAGTTCTTATATTCATCCATCCAGACCTCTGCTGCCCGGCGAGTATTGCTAGAAACAGAACAAAACCTCCTAAGGTGTGATTCTCTCCTTCAGAAGCACCCTTCTAACTGTGCTTTCCTGCAGCAGAGCAGCCCGGGGAGACAGGTGGCCATCCAGCGGGTCTAGGGCCTCCAGAGCTGTTCCAATATGTCACAAGATCAGACACCAAAAGGTGAGCTAGAATTACAGTGCGGGGGAACTATGAAGCGTTGGGCCAGCCCCCGAGAGGGACAGTGGTCCTTATGCAGTGATGTGCTGTGTGCTCATGGGTGCGGGGCAGAGAGCACGGCCCGGAGGCAGCTGTGTCCACAGCCCGGTGATTTGGGCCTCAGCACCACAGGTCAGCTTGACTCTGGAGCCCCTTCCTTCCCTGCAGACCTGCTGAGAGGAGGGGCTCCCTAGGCCGTGACTCCAACCAGGACACAGCAGCCCTCACTGGGCACTGGAGATTTGTATCCTGTTCTTTCACAGCAAATATAGCTCAGAGGCAATGCCACCTTTAAAATCATTCCTTTTCTCTACCAGAAAGATTTCGTAAATGCTAAGTCCTTCAAGTTCCTGAGCTATGATTATGAGAACAATTTGCAGGTGTGGCCTCTTGAATGGAGAATGACATGCCTATCCCATGTGCTCTGCACCAAGGGGACTTGGGCTGCAGCAAAGAGCACCACTAAGAGGCAAAGCAATGCTGGGGCTGCCCACTGCTGATCAGCGTCCTACTCCTGGCAATTTACCTTTGGGAAATAACCAGCAATGACATGCATACGTGAAAACTGGCCCACTTCAGCATTATTTATAATGGTAAAAAAATAACTAGAAACTGCAAGGCCCAATCCAGGGACAGGATGAGATGAAAGAACTGTGCACAGTGGCAATCCACGGTACATGGGTCTTGTTGGTGGGCGAGGATGGCTCAAAGAGAATATGTGGAGGGAGGAGAGAGCAGGACAGAGGCCAATGGGGAGCCAGAACCAGCACGTATGAGAGCAGGGCGCAATCTTCTTTGTAATAAGATGCAGGGTTTTTGCTTTCTCTTGCAGAACAATGAGTTCTTCAGTGCAGGAGAACACAGGTCCCAGGTGCCATTCCTCAGACAGCTGCCAACTACTCACAGTGGGACTTGTAGTCTTGCTAGATGATTCCCAGCTTAACTTGGCCCAAACCCTGGCCAAGTGGCTCAGAACCAGGCCAGGACTCTAGCCCGCTGACACCCAAATCCTCACCAGGACACAGAAGAATCTGATTCAAGGTCTCCTGGCTCCTTTCAGCCTTCACAGCTTAAAGAATTTATAAATTCCAATCACAGTGTTTACATCATGTAAGTCTTCATGTCTGCTAACAGGGAGATACCGTGGAGTCGCACATGTGCCTTGAGGCGTGTTACTGTTCAGACTGAGAACATCCCTCAAAGCCTGAAGTGAGCAGAGCAGGGCTTCTGCCTTGATCACAGGGCACTGTGTGCATCGGTGAGTTCATCTCCTGGCAACTTCTGTGGCTGAGTGTGCTGCTAGGAGGTGAAGGCTGCTGGTAGGAAGCGGCAGGTCACAAGGGGTATGACCTGGAAAGGTTTTCTCCTCCCTGTCCTCTTTGTGAGCAGTCTTTCTTCCACTCAGGCCCTTCTGTCATACTGCCAATTATGCAAGAGCTGAGATTTCTTAAAATGTAAGACAACATAAACTTTTCTTCCTTTAAGCTGTGGATGTCAAGTATTTTGTACCCTGGGTGACTCTGGATCCTTTCTTTCATTCATCCACTGGGATACTCACTGGTACCAACCACACCCCAGGGATCCAGAGGCATGCAGAGAGAGGGGCCCAGTTTTGTCCACACCTTCCTGGATCTTAAGCACTTACAGAGTGATGTACTCATGCATCCAATGTCACACATTACAGGAAATTAAGGGAAGCCAGAAAGGACCTCAGCCACACAAAAGTCCACCTCTTCAAGTCTGCTAAGAGAAGGCAGCCTTGCTGAGGGTGGCCCAGGCAGTAACTTAAACATCATGAAACAGGGTCCTACTACATGGTCCAGGATGGCTTGAACTTATAAATCCTCCTGGCTCAGCCTCCTAAATAGCTAGGATTACAGGCATATGCCACCATGCCCAGCCCAAGAGTGCTTCTGCCAATAGTGTGGAAAGTTGACATCTCGAGGGCTTTAACACACCGTTTTCCAAACCTCATTGTTCGCTGGGCAGTATCAGTGGCTTTGACTTGAGGTATCTGGTATGCCTATACTAGAGGTTTCTGGGAACAATTCCATGTTCCCCCGGGGAACATCAGTGTTTGATTTTATACAGCTCATTGTATAAGATTGTATTTCTGTTTAAACAGAGCAAAGATGAAGCACAGACAATACTCATGAAAAGACATGTTTTGAGGAAGATAAGTGATCAGAAGCACTGTCTGCTGTGTTGGCTTCTATTCAAGTTGCCCCAGAAACAGGCTCTGTGTATTAAAAATTCAGTCTCTATTTAGCATGTGCATATTAGTAACACCCCAGGCTTCCGTCTTCAGTGGGTGCCATGTCATCACAGCAGTGGGACATCACCATAACTCCTGGACTGCCTCAGAGAGAGTACAGGATAGGTGCACACTTGCTCAGGTACTCAGAGTGACTGGGGCGGTAGTGGGGACATCGCCTCTCTGCCACTCTCTGGCCCTTAGAAGGAACTTGCCGAAGCTAAGACAGAGGTCAGGTTCGTGCTTACAAGGCCAGTGGCTTTCCCTGGCACCCAAGAGCTACAAAGGTAGTGGTATTCTCTCCAGGGTGCATGGCCTGGCCTGCCCAGCCTTCCTGGCTCCATGCACTGTCCTCTCCTCCTGTAGGCTCTGGCTGCCCTCTGACTTGAGAGCGCTCACCCGTGCCCACATGTTCCTTCTCAGCAGCCTGTCCTTCTTCAGGATGCCAGTCCCCAGGTCTGAGGGTACCCTCTCCCATCACTTTCCCAAAGGTACTCCACACACTGTCATGTTTTTACCTTCTGCCTGTCTCAGGCATGCTCTGTCACATTTTACCTTCTTCATAGCACTGATTAGGACAGTATTTGAAGTGATCTTATTTAGATGTGTATTCTGCTGTCTACTCTCATGAAAAGGTACATTAAAAGAGGACCCTAAGATCTAACTCACACACTTTTATCTCTAGCATTTGAGAGAAAATGTGGTCGGACAGAATGGTGATTTGCTGGTTTGTTTTTTTTTTTTTTTTTTTTTTTTCAAAAATTCTTCATCTGGCATTATTGTGTTTCCTAAAATATATCTTTGATCAATTACGAATCACATCTACATGCCATGATGTCCTAGTATATCCTGTGGTTTGAATGCCCCTTCTAAATGTCTCTTGAAATTTGTCACTACAACAGTGTAAGACATGATCAGGCTACCAGGGCTGGGCTCCCCTTTGCAGGTGGAACGAGGGCTCCTCCAGGGTGCCCTACTGCCCTTCTACCACGTGATGAGCATCCACTGGTAAGTTCTGTCTACCATGAAGTACTTAGTCCATGGTGCTGTTATAGGAGCACACAACAGACAAGAGGCTTAACTGTACCTTGAATGGTAATGCACAGTAAGCTGTTTGCTTCAAGACACTTGCCCATATCACCTTCTGGGAGGGCACATTCATACATCTTTAGGTTTTCACAACTATAACTGCAATATGGAGCTAGACTAGTCCACCCCAGATGCCCTGGTGCTGCCCCTGGGCCACTCCTCCTACCCCAGGCTACCCCTCCAATCCCAGCTGCTCTGGCCAGCAAGCCACCCCTTCCCACCCTCCCATTGGCACTGTTTTTGCAAAACACCATGGAGGGTGCACAGGCAACTTCCTTCCCCAGCATTCTGCCTTCTGTATGTGCCAGCCACCTGCTGCTTCCCATGGCTGATGGTACCACACCTGTCACTGGATGCCTGTTGCCATGCAGCTCAGGGTAACACCCGTTCCTGGAGCAGCTGGCAGGACTGTGGCCCTGTAGCCTCTCCGTACTTACCGGGCAAAGACAGTGCCGCTGCCACCTGGGAAGGTGTAGGGGTGCTGCTTCCGGAACACATGTCCCACACGGCTACACGGGATGATCTCCAGACTGCCACCGCACTGCCACACGCGGAAAGAGATCTCTGGATGGGGATGAGACTGGGTGACCTGTGGGGCTGGTGGGCTTCCCTACAACAGTCCCCATGATGCAGTCACCCCGCCCCGACTGCTGCAGGAGCCAGAGAAAAGCTGCTTCCTCCAGAACGTGGCTTGGAGACTGCAGCATAACCAAGGAAGTATGAAGCAGGGAGCACACTTGGGATCTGGCTTCAGCGCACCGGGTGCTGGACCACGGGCATCCCAGGACATCCATGGCTGACATGCGCCTCAGCGCAGACAGTGCCAGGGAGGTGACAGTGAAGGGATGTGAATGTCAGGCAGGCAGCCACAGTGAAATCCTCTGGATGGGCAGCCAGGTCCTGGAGAAGTGCCCGGATTGCGTGGCAGGGGTCTGTACACCACTCACAACAGCCATTGATTCTACCATGGCTGGGAAACCAAGGCCAGAGGGGCAAGCTCAAGTCCAAAGAACAGTAACCTGGGTGGTCGCCTCACTGGGGCGTAGAGCTTATGGTTGATGCCATCCAACCAAACACAGTAAAATGTTTTGTACTTTATTTACAGTGTTCAACTAATTGAGTCAAATGTCCTCTGCCTTTCAGGAATTACAATGGCAGCATACGTGTCCCTGTTGGCAGCTGCAAACTTGGGCCCTTGTGTGGGGAGAGCTGAGCCAGTGGGGGCACTGGGAGGCTGGAGGGCATATCTGCACTCAGCATGCTGCAGCTACTTCAACTCTGATCTCACTCAAGTTCCACCCTTGAGGACATGGCTCTGGATGGCCCCTGCCTTTTAACTTAGGCAGTTGCCCTTCCCTGGACCTGCACACAGCTTGAGGCCTCTGCACACTTTGCCTCTGCAGACACACGAAGAGCTGGTGGCACTGGAAGCCACAGCACCCAACAAGCCCCTCCACTGCTTCAGGGTGGAAGGCCAGGACATTCGTCCCCTTTGCCGATTCTCAAAGGCATAGGAAGATGCATTACTGATCAGGGAAGCAGGATGCTCCCCTCATTCCAGCTCACAGCATCAGGGAGTGGTCTGGATCTTTCTCGGGTTTCCCATTTCTCCTTCTCCAGCACAACCCCAGAGAGCCACAGGTGAATATTCTCAACATACACAGGAAGCAGCAGCAGCTCTGCTCAGGAGAAAGCAAGGCTGACAGCCTAGACTTTCTGCTTAAACCCTGCGCTACTCAGCCTCTGCCATGAGCCCTGGGAGAAGCAGCCCGGGAGGGGATATCTCTGCAGGTCCTCCACGATCACACGGATGCACAAACAAAAACACAGCCACCCAGGCCATCCGAGCGAGCTCTGTCCACCTCTGGCCTCTGGGTGCAATGACCTTGGGTGTGTGAAATGACTCTCTGCACCGAGACATACAGGCCATCTGACATGTGATCCATGACCCTTCTCCCGCCAGCATTCAGTTCTCCAGCAAGACTCTCAGGCCCAAAGGCTCTGGCCCAAGCCCTCCGTGAGGGCAGTGTGTCTTTAGAGCCCCTCCCCACAGGAGGGGGACTCATGCCCCCTCGCTGCTGTGCACACTGAGCAAAAGCAGCTTCCATCATCAAACGCGGGCACAGGGATCCAGAGACATGTCCTCACTGACTGCTACACCCAACACAACGGGGAAGTGACAGGCCAGGCTAGGCTTTCAAACTAACAGAAACTTTCAAAGTCTCTGTTAGGAGTAAAAGCAACAAGAGTCATTTCTCTCCCTTTTCTTGCCCTCTTTCCTCCCCTGGCACACCCACTCAATGACAAAAGAAACCAAACAACATTCAGGAGCCAAGGAGAACTGGCTCTGAGCTCCAGGCCCTGGAAAGTAAAGGCCTCAAGTGCAGCCAACAAGGGTAGGGGTGAGACACCACAAACAATACCAGTCCATGAGTCTTAATCTTTCATGCTGGAGCCATGAGGTGCCTATGAACAGACCACAGCCTGTAAAACCTTACTGCTCCTAAACCTGTGTGAAAACGACTATCACTGGTTATTTAAAACAGAAAATGAAGCCAATATAGAATCATTCACAGAAGTCATCAAGAGATGGATGGCCAGGGCCAACCTGGGGCAGCCTCCTGATAACCATCAGGCCAAACATGTGAGCCCCACAGCCTAGTCTCCATGCCACACAGCTCGTCGGAGCCCTTATGCCCAACTGTTTCTGCCAGTTTTTGAAGTACGTGTTCTAAACCCATAGCCCTACTGACAGGACAGAGCCCATGTTTCTGCTAGAGGGCTGCTTGGGCCCTGACCTCCAGCTTTGATTTAATGCCAACCTAAGTCACCTTTAGAAGAAAGAGGGTATTGGGTGCATTGGTACAGGAGCCGGTTCTGCCCTAAATGATGGCACGATTCTTTTGGTGGTTCAGGGTTAAGCCAGGGCCTTTGTACTAAAGGTACAGCCAACCCTTTTTAATTTTGAGAGATTCTCACTGTAAGTTGTCCAGGCTGGGATCAAACCTGTCATTCTGCCGCCATGTCCAGGAGTGCTGGGATATAAGCATGTACCATCAAGTCTGGCTATGCCATAGCTTCTTAAATGCTTGCCAAAGAGTTGGCACACACCTTCCCCACACACCACCAAAGAAAGCAGGACTGCGGTGTGAGGCTGTACATACCTAGGTTCTCTCCTCCCCACACATCCATCATCATGTCGTACTTCCCCAGCTCTTCAAAGTACAGCTTGTCCATCACGAAGAGCCCACCAGCAATCATGGGGGTTCTGAAGAGGCAAAGAGCAGAGCGTAGGTCAAGGCCACACGGACAGCTCTCTCCTGCCATGACCAAACCTGAGTTTACAGACTGTAAGAGGACATTCCAAACATTTTCAAGTGCCTCCATTTCACTCCGCTGCCTCCAAGCCTCCCCAGTCCCTGCCTGGATGTGTCCAACGTGCCAGGGCTGGCCTACACCTACTGCAAGGCTGGGACCACCCATGGGGCAGCTGTCTTTGGCAAGGAACTCAGCCTTCAGTACCTCACTTTCCTTATAGGGTAGTTGTAAGAATCACCAAAAACAAACACAAAAGCCATCTAGCCCACCTCCACCCGCAGTTGCTGGGATGTCTGGGAGCATAACCATGAGGTGATACACAGCACTGACAGGTATGCCTCATGACCTGTTGAGTTTCTGAAAGTGACTCAAGGGGTTGACCATCTGGTGGCAGCACCAGCCTAGAGCTTGGTGAGGGAGGGAAAGAGAGCAGGCACAGACCACAGCTATGCAGGCCCAAAGGCCTATGCTCACCTGCAGCTGACACTTACTTAATGGGGGCCACCGGATTCCCTTGCCGTGACCGCCTCTGCTCTGGGGTCATGTAATCCCATTTGAATACCAGGTTCCAGTCAAACCCTGTCATGAGAAAAGATCCACACACTGATGAGGGACTGAGTTTCTGTTTTTGGCTCCCTGTCTCTCACAGCTTCAAACATGGTGTTTGAAGGGGCTCACACACACACACACACACACACACACACACACACACACAAAAGATGAAAATGAAGACACAATATAAAGAGGGTTGGAAGAAAGGGACTTGGGGGATGGAGCCAGGAAGGAGGATGGGTGAGAAGGGCCATCTTCCTGATGCTCCCCAAAAGGAAATGTAGACTGGGCTTTTGTAACACTGAAATGCAAGACGCTGGGATGCAGCATGGGGGACCACTTGCTAGCTTGTGCGAGGACCTGGGTTCCAGTCCACACTGTCAACAGAAATTAAAGGGAAAAAGAAAAAAAAGTGTAAGAGCAAATGTGAAATGTAAAGGGACTGGGGTCTATGTATATCCAAGAGCTGTAAGAGGTGAGAAATGAGCAACCCATGAGACTGTCCATGGGCTGGTGTCCCCAATGCTGTCCACGGGACACGACAGGAACACGAGAGAAGGAGACATCTGGTCAGTGCCCTGGGCCTGCAAACTTGTTTTTGGTTCCTTTGGATTGCCACTGAAACTACTTTAAAGCAGGAATGATGGGAATGTGGAGACTTTCAGATGAAATTTAATCATAAAGTTATAAAACTGGTCCAGTAAGCTTCAGTTTCTGGTAAATACAGCCCTTGCTCCATTTCATTCCTAGAGTCCACCGACTACCAGCAGAGGAAGCCCCTGGGCCTCGTACTTGGCCTCGGACACTTGCAGGGCCCTAGGCCACGGCTGGCCAGGTTCCACTCTTACACCCAAGAGACCAGTGCACCACCCTCATGGCTCTCTGCACTCAAGCTCTGCCCTTGGCACACAAGCACCACAGCACTTGAGTGGTGACCCTCAGATCTGACCGCCAGACCCTGGGTCCCCAGAAGTCCCTGTCTTTCACTCTGGGCCTCTGAAGGTCTCTGTGCTTAATTAAGCTTTCTGTTAACAGGATTCCTGAATACTCAAGCTTGGATTTCTCATCTGGATTCAGGGTTTTATTAACGTGCTGTAGTGATAACCTTTAACATATTAAAAATTCTATTAGGATGTCCTCCTTCATAAATCGCTATTGGCCTGACCTCAGCCTGGTTCCGGCCTAGTAGAAAGCTGCCCCCACGGGGACTGCCCGCTGCCGTACCTGCTCTGATCAACTGGAGGGATGGCAGCTCTTCCAGACCTTCAGGGAGCAACACGCTCTGACACTACCACTTTCTTAAGACCAAGGTCCTATTCTCTTCAAAGACAGTGCACTCGATTTTCCTGCCACTTGTTAGGAAACAGTCCCAAAGTTTGCACTTCTCAGTTTGTGCACAGCCACAAAACTAGCCCACCCTCTGATAGGGAGCAGGGTGCTGGGATAGTCACACCCCATCCCAGCAAAGGCGGACACACCGTCACTCTCGTCCTGTCAGGACCTATGTGGCCATCATGATTACCACTACTCAAGACGAGGATGCTGAGGGCACGCAGCCCACCCACAGCAACGGGGCCTGTGGGGGTGGGGTGCAGCTGAGCACTCACTGTCCAGCACCCTAGCCTCGAGGGGCAGCCAGGTTCTCACAGTTCTGTCTTCTTTCCGACATCAGACTAGCAGCTGATCCTCTGTGTATCTGCCTGTAAATGTCCATCTTTCTTCAACCAGTCGACATGTTAGACAGTGAGACAGACTTCACTTCATTTAAGAAAGACAAGCTGCACGCAAGTATCAATCTCAGATTTAAAGGGCCTGTGTCTGGAATGGCCCTGGGGCCACAAATGCGCAAGTTCTCCTTCAATCAGGGCAGCCCTCTGATTTCTTGGACCTCAGCAGAGTTCTAGAGTAAAAGGGTTTAGTCACTGGGCTTTGGCAGGGCTCTCTGGGGCACGGAAACCCCAGGACAAGTAGGGACCACATGTACCATGACTGGGCCCTTAGGTACCATCACAGAACACAGCTCCTCCTAGGCGTGGTCTGGGACCCCTCCTGACCTCAGATCTTTCTGATCTACACAGGACCTACCTGCTTCCTTCAACCCTACTGCTCAAAAGTGACGAGTGAATTAGATGAGGGCTGCAGGATGGTGTACCTGCTTTATCTCAAGTTTTAAAAATCCCTTGGCTTTAATACAGTAAATGCTGATTTGCCACATAAAACCTCTGGGGTCCTTGATAGTAAGAGGGCAGAGAGTTTCAGATGAATTGCTCTCAAGGCTCCATGGGCGGCGGGTGTGAGGGAGAGGGTAGAGGCTGTGGAGATCATAGGAAAGCAGCAGGTGACTCAAACAAAGGCCTCTGGGCAGAGGCAGAGGTGAGCGGCTGCGAGAGTGTTCATCAGTGAGACCAGGGCAAGAAGTCAGAACTAGCACCCAATGGGTGGTAAGAAGCTGGGTCTCCACTTGGCCGACCAGTGAGAGACAGGGTACTGAGGAAAGGCTGAGCAGAACAAGCACAAACAGGCCCAGTCCCTTTCCTGCACAAAACTTTAGGTCTGTGGAGCTCCTCTTATCCTGCTGGTCAGGAAGGACCTCTAGAGTCCCTGGCTTAGGGCATCAGCAGAAGGTCTCACCATCACTGACCAGTGAGAATAGAGCATCTGAGCCATGAAGTGCCAAGAGGTAGCCATAGGCCCAGGAGACAGAAGGCAGCAGCTACATCTTGGGGAAGATGGTGTGGGGTAAATGCTACAGTCACTGTCATTTCCAACTGTGGAGACACTTACCGCCCTTCAGGTCAGCCGAGGCCCCCACATACTGAAAGTTGTCCATGTTGATGACATCGATGATGGGCGACACTACCCGAGTCCTGTCCTGAGCAGGGCGGAGGGCGAGAGCAGCTGTCAGATTCTAGCACAGCCAACAGCCTCTCCCTAGTCCTCCACGCCAAGCAATCATGGCACAGGCTGACAGCCTCCCTCCCCACCCAGGTGCACAGAAGGGGCAGCTACCTGAGGGGACAGCTGGGCCCAGGACACTTCTGCCATCTGTTCACCCCACTAAAGCCAAGGACTGCTCAGTGGGTCTGGGTTGCTTCCAAAATGTCAACCACAGGGTTGCTGTCGTCGCATGGAATCTAAGTCCAGCTGCATCAACATCAGTTATTATCACTCAAGGGCAGCAGCAGCAGAGCCTGGGAGCAGATCCACTGCTAACCTGCCTATGCCACAGAATCACAATGTGCGTCTCTAGATGCACATGGGGTGCGGGAAAGACGTGCAGAGTGTCAACATTATTACAGCAGAAGGGAAGCCAAGGTGACCAGAGGACCCTAGCCCTACGCTTGGTCTCAGGTGGCTCCACCAAATCCTCTCCACCTGGGCCACCTCAGGACGCTGCCAGGGGTATAGGCTGCACACAGAGGCCTCTCCCTGCTAGGCCTCTGTGTTCCACAGCTGCGATGGCCGGCCCTCAGCACAGGGTCAGTGCAGGCTGAGTACTTCCCCTGGGCCACATTAGCAGTCCTCATCAGCAGAAGACTGGGAAAAACAATCTCACAACACAGTAAGTGAAAGAGGGACAACCTGAAAGAATACTTCAAATTTCTAACCACCATCGGCAGACTTACAAGGAAAATAATCTGAGAGGCACTGAGGACAGAGAACGGACTTATCTCGCTCAGTCTGGTCCTCAGTGTGGGAGTCAAGGAATATATATACTGTGCATTTCTTTTGATAACCTAATTAATGAGAGTCAATCCCCTCAGCACCTCCTCGTCACAGAGGAGGGTGTGAGATGGCTCTGTATTCCACACAGGCCACTGGCTGTGTGCATGCTGACATGAGGCCACCTGGATATGGCGCTGTTTTCCAGAGACAGTGGCAGTGGGAGTACTTGCAGACCTGGTGGGGGGAATCCATGGGGGTTCTATGGTGCCGATACATGGGGTGTGTGTAAGAGATGGATTCAGTTAGGGATCAGATGGGACCTATCCTACCATCAGCCACCTACATTATCAAAAACCTAAAGCCATCTCTCACCTGCCAAGAGGCGTAACACCTGCACTAAAGGCAACACAAAACAGATGTCTAACGTGCTGTTTGAACCCAGTCAAGAGCCATTAAATGGGACCTTCATAATTCTGGGCCGCACTTGGTTATTTAGTATTTCATGATGTGCTGCCTGTCAGTTTCACCGGGATGCTGAGAGCAGAAGGGCTTATTCATTTTCTACTTCCCTACACAGGTTTGCATTATTGCCCCCGAGGAAGCACTTTCATAGCACGATGGAAGTCAATAAAACAAGCAGAAGGCAAAGAAGTAACACAGAGCCACACCAGTATTTATGATGATGGTTCCAGTGGGCAAAGGTGCACAAAGTGTGGCTATGGTCACCCTAATGGCCCTGCCTAGGCACTGAGTAGTGACCACTGCCTGCTTCTCTCCATGAGCCTCGAGTGATGAGCCAGCCCAGTCCTCACTGAGAGCAGAGGGTTTTGTGGCATGTCCCCAGCATGGAGTGCACTCGCACATGTCAGGTATGCTCAGTCACATGCCTCCCACACGCCCAGAGCCGATGTCAGCTACAAGGACGGGGTGGGGGTGGGGAAGACTCCTTAGCCAGCAGGTCCTCACCCGTCTCTGCTGAGCATCTTCACCTGTCAAGTGACCATTTCTCATGCTGATGGATCCCCGAGGCCCATGAAACCCTCTGAGTCCCAGGGCCATTCCCTGCTGTCTGCTGCCCAGGAATCCTTAAGCCAGCACATGCCCTGTCCCCTCCCCACACTGTCCTTCCCATTCACCTCCCCCTCCCGCCCCACCCCCACCTCACCTCAGCAACCCGCTCCAGCAGCGGCTCCAGCCAGTGCTCATTACACTCACAGTGGCTGTCCAAGAAGGTCAGGACCTTGGCCTGGGCGGCATCGGCACCCCGGACCCGGGAGCGCATCAGGCCTGTAGGATGAAGGGAGAACCTGGGTCAGGACAGGCTGCCTGCTGGGCACCAAGCTCCCTACAGACCTGCCTGGCAGGGTCAGGGCTGCCCCACGGTGACCAAAGCAGAGTCTATCAGGAGTTTAAAAATAAAAGTAGAGTCAGATTGCCAACAGCTCGTTCGCCAGCCCGCTCCGTTATGGCGGCTATCAGCCCCAGCGTTGTGATAAGTGATGATGAACCAGGCTATGACCTAGATTTATTTTGTATTCCGAAGCATTATGCTGAAGATTTGGAAAAGGTGCTTATCCCTCATGGACTAATTATGGACAGGACTGAAAGACTTGCTCGAGATGTGATGAAGGAGATGGGAGGCCATCACATTGTAGCTCTCTGTGTTCTCAAAGGGGGCTATAAATTCTTTGCTGACCTGCTGGATTACATTAAAGCACTGAATAGAAATTGTGATAAATCCATTCCTATGACTGTAGATTTTATCAGACTCAAAAGCTACTGTAATGACAAATCAACAGGGGACATAAAAGTAATTGGTGGAGATGATCTCTCAACTTTAACTGGAAAGAATGTCTTGATTGTTGAGGATATAATTGACACTGGCAAAACAATGCAAACATTGCTTTCACTGGTTAAGCAGTATAATCCAAAGATGGTCAAAGTTGCAAGCTTGCTGGTGAAAAGGACCCCTCGAAGTGTTGGATATAGGCCAGACTTTGTTGGATTTGAAATTCCAAACAAGTTTGTTGTTGGGTATGCCCTTGACTATAATGAATACTTCCGAGACTTGAATCACATTTGTGTCATTAGTGAAACTGGAAAAGCCAAATACAAAGCCTAAGATGAGAGTTCAAGGTGACTCAAGAAACACTGGGAGTCCCATTGATATCGCCAGCAGAATTATCAGATGTTCTAGTTTTGTGGCCATCTGCTTAGCAAAGCTTTCTGCATGAATCTTCTAAGAATTTTATCTATTTTGTATCTTAGTAATGTCAGTTGCTGCATTCTTGAAATTTTTATTTGCACTGTGAGCCTACAGACTATCAGTTCCCTTTGGGTGGGTTCATTAACTTGTGAATGACAAAAAAACCTCAAACTACACTATTGTGAAATAAGAATATTGAAATTGTAAGAAATGTTTAAAGAAAAAATATTAGTTTTTTAATTGGTATTTTAATTTTTGTATATTCAGGAAAGAACAGAAATGATTAAATATTGTGCATTATATTACCATGTATTTAGAAAAGTCAGAAATGATCACTTTTTTCATTGATATTGATGACAGCATCTATGAGGTTTGTTCAGTTGAAAAAAAAATGTCTTGGTAGTGTTGACTTTTTTCCCACTAGTTAATTTCCCATTAATTTTTGTGAACGGTTTCTTTTAAATGCAAATAAATACATTTTAAAAAGCAAAAAATAAATAAATAAATAAATAAAAGTAGTTAATTGGGTGGCTGAGAAGACAAATATCTTAAAACTACTATGCCCTGAAAAAGCCCTTCACATAGCTGAAGTTCCCTTCATCCAACCCCTGTTCTTACTCCCTCTGCACAGTGACCTGGCTCTTACCCCAGTGAACCCTCAGAGTTAAAGCACCAGAGTTCATACTTAGATGCACTTCTGATTTCCAAACAGGTCAAGGGCACACTCTTTAAGACTAGCAAGTAAGGCCGGCCAAATAGCTCAGCAGATTAAAGCACCCACTTAGGCAGACACAGGGGCTGGGGATTCGACCCCTGATCCCAGCCTGCAGTGCTGGCCCTGCCCCTGGGACACCCTGAGACAGCGAATGAGACTAGGCATGGTGGTGCATGTGTATAATCTCAGTGCTTGGGAGGCTGAAAAACAGGAGGATCACTAGGCGTCTGATCTGTGTAGTGAGACTTTGTAGACCCTGTACTAAATAAATAAAAAAAAAAAAAAAAAAAAAAAAGGCTAGCAACTGATTTATCAGTTCTAACAGTTTCTTCCTTCTTTCCTGCTCTTCCTTCCTTTCACCTCGCCCCTCCTCCTCTCTTAAAGTCTGTACTATGTTCTGCCCTTTCCAGGTGTCTGTGACAACAGAGGCTTAAAATTCATAAAATTTATTTTGTAGGTTGTTTAGGGGGCAAACATAATGCAGTAACTTACAGAGCTCCGGGTTTGTTGTAGGTCTGGGGGACTGACGTGCACCCAGCAAGCAGTGCTCCTCAAGGGTGAGGTTTAGCCATCACGCAACATCTGTGCTCAAGCCTGCAGTGTGTGGACCACGCTGCCAAGGGGCTGAGTCTCTGCACTGTCAGACCTTTGCTAAGGACACCTTCCTTCCTTGACTCCAGCGGGGCCACACAGGGAACCAAACAAAAAATGTGCTGGTGGAGGAATCCAGCTGCACTCCGGGGCCAGTGGCCATCCTCACACTGTGAGAGTGGCAGGCTCTCCAGCTGTGGGGTTTTCAGCAACGGAAATATTCCACTAGCCCGAAGAAGAGCTGAGCATGCAGCTGCCAGTATACTACCACTGAGCTGTACCCTAGGCGGCCCTGGATGACGACTACACCCCCAGACACACCTGCCAGCCCAGCACATTCCCTGGAGAGCTTCTCTGCACCCTGACAGCAGGCTCATGAGTGCTCTCTGCTCAGACATAACCGATGGCAGTTCTGGGGTTGGCATTTGCAGAGTTGCACAGGCGCATAATTACAGTACTCTCCCGGTTTGGATGGTTCAGCTTCAGCAGGCTGTCAAATTTGAGCCTGTTATTTGATCAGATGCTTGGAGTCTGGACTCATTAAGCTTCTCATGGCTAAGTCTTTATTGTTCCTCTAAACAGCAGGCCAAGGGACTTATGGAGATTTCCTCGCTTGTGAAAGAGAGAAGCCCACTTTCTAAGTAGGGGAATAAAGTGTAAAGTGCGCTCTTGCCCTAGTGTATGCACAACTTCAATTAAGCTTTTAATTGTCCTTCCCATATCTGTTGGGACAGGGTTCCTGGCTACTCTGCAGAGGCGAACAGACAGAAAGACTAGACCACTAATCCATCTTTCTCAGCCAAGATATTATGGGGCTCAGGTAAGTCAGAATGCAGCCATTTTGACAGCGCCGCAAGACAGGACTTACCTTCTCGGCGGTCATTCCTCAGGACCCGAACCTTCTCAATTTTCCCCAAGAGGGCCCCATCCTCAGCTACGAAACAAAAGGAGAACGTGGTGAACCCCAGGCTGCATGGGGCTCCATGCTGGAAAACGGCACCTCTTGGTCCTCTACAGGCTGGCCTCTCCTTACACCCCGGAGAGGTGCCCCTCCCTGTGACCTGCGTGACCACACACTCACTACTGACAGCCACCTCAGGGGCTCTGTGGGACATGGGTCCATCCCCCGGTACTCACGGTCATTGCTGTAGTCATCCACCAAGATGATCTCCTTTATGAGATGGGGTGGACTTCTCTTCAGCACACTGAGGAAAGATAGGAAGATAAAGGCTGCGTGGGAGCCTGCTGAGACCTCTCTTACGTAAGAACATATCCTGTCTGTCCAGGCCCATCTTTGGCTGTAGGAGCCAGTAGACACTGCTGTTGAAGGGTCTGGTGTCCTGTCTGAAGTACCCACGGCTGCACTGACTGCTTGGGACATAACTCATGTCAGTACCCCGACAGGTGATGTTCCTGAGGGTAACAGGTCATGACAGTGTCCCTAGGCCTCACCTGACCACTGTCCTCAGCAAGGCCGACCTGGCTTCGTTGTGGAATGTGATTACCACGCTGGTAGCCGGCAAATCCACCCTCCACTGCTTCCTCTGACACCTGCGAGGGGAGAGAGATGTCCTGAGTATAGACAGCAAAAGCCCTATGGCCAGCCTCCAAGGACACAGTCAGGCCAAGCCGCCAGCAAGGACCGGCTGTGAGGAGCCCATCAGTTGCAGCAGCCACTGGCTACCTGTGGGATGCAGTGCTAGGTGGACACATGGTGACAGAAAAAGACTGCAAATGCCTAACACAGAATGTTGTAACACAATAAAACCCTCTCTACCAGTTCAGATATCTCTAGCTATACACTCCCTGGGGGCCGGGTTCCCACTCTTCTCCCTTCAGCCTTCTGCCCACCATGAGCCTGTGTGTGCCCTAATACCCAGAACCTGGCTCTCGTGGACAAGGGGAACCCACGGCCTGCTCTCCCTTATGTGAACACAGGCGCCTAAGTGATGGCCAGCTGACTAGTAAGATCAGTCGGCATCTCCATTCCCCGAACAGCATGCAACACTAGGCTCAATTCCTGACAGGAACCTAAAGGAAGTTCTCCAGTTCAGGATATATGCTGGCTGGAGGATCCCCATATGCTACTTAGAAACAGGACTCACACAGTTCCATGCTGAAGATGCTGGAGTATCACAAAATAGACATGACCTCAAAGGAAGACTGGCTTCAGCAGACTCTACCCAAGGAGATCTTCCAGTCACCTATGGATTTTAGGATGCCAGTACAATGCAATGTTCCCAGAGTCCCAAAAGAACAAAGTCTGAGGGCAGCTTTTGAGGACAGTGGCAATCTGTCAGTTGTGGCTGAATGCAGCAGAGTCACCAAACCAGTGACACTGTAGACATTGGCTTGGCCAGGAAGCCAGGAGGTGGTCCCTGCTGGTTTTCCCCACATGAAGTCCCTCTGTATCACTGTTGTCAAAGAGTATTCGGCCCCAGGATGACAGACACACAGGAGAACACTTTCTGGGGGCCACACACTAAAGACTTGGTTTATGCTCTAGCTGTTACTGTGGCTTCCATCGCTGGGAATTACCTGCTCCCTGAGTTAAAGACAGCATTTATCTCGCACAAGAAATCAATGAGAAAGAAGATGGATTCTAATAGCGCTCAGCCATGGCTAACATCTAAGCTGTTGAGGACTGACAGGGATGCTCAAGCAGCTGCTGGGTAGTGAGCACAGGACAAGGCGCGGCTCTCCTCAAGGAAGCATGGCTGGCAGGCCGTGAAAATGATGGATTTGCAATACGCACAGGAACAGAAGCACCCTGCGCTGCTATTAGGTCAGAATCTTTGGTTATTATAAAGCTAGTTTGTTTTAATTAACCATGAAAAACCGACATAACAATCACTACACTTTGGGGACATTCTGGAATTAACACTTTACCTCACTGTGCCCGAAGGTTTTACTGACAAGTGGACTAATATGCTAGTTTCTCTTATTTCAATGTTAAGAATTAGCAGATAGTTTGATTAAGAAAGTGAGGATTTGAAGGCTTCAACTGTAAACAAATCACCAAGAACCCAATCTGTGATGCTAATGAAACAAGGACCCCCACACTGGGAGTCCTCAACTTCCTCAGCAATTAGATCCCACTTAACTCTGTGGAAAGGGCAAGCAGCAGACTGGCTGACTGCAAACATTCAGGACACGAGGTGGCATTTTCTCCCCTCACGGCAAACCTCTCAGATCCGGATCACGCTCTGCTCTCTCGTTATTTCCTCTTCTCTGCAGGAAGCTTCCTTTCCTTGAGTGTCCGGGCCTCCCAGGGCTCCTGAACATGCAGGGCTGCCGCATTTGCACCATTTATTAAAGTTTCTCTACATATGCATGAGGCATGAGACTTTGCTAGGACCTGGCAACTGTGGGACTTAGCAGAGGCCCATCCTCATGGTAGGGAATAACAAGTAAAATCGGTGGCATTTCACGTGTGTGAATACATGCACAGGAATCCAGGTAAACCCTCACGCTGAAGCACAGGGAGGCTGGAAGACCTTCTTTAACAAGAAAAAGCACATTTTTCCCTTTAAAGAGCCATGTCCCTGATACAGCCATGTCCCTGGCTGCCCCAGAGGGCTCAGTGTAACTGAGATGTGCTCCCTTGGGGTCCATTTCAGGTCCCGAAGGAAGCAGCAGCAGCAGCAGCAGGCACTGAAAAGAGAACCAGGAGTGCTACAGGAGTGCTACAGTTTCACTCTGAAGTCTTCCTCTCCGATACACTGGTGACTTCAAAAGCCAGATCCATGCTCGGTGTGGCGTGTGCCTGCAATCCCAGCTGCTTGGGTGGCTGAGGCAAAAGGATCACACATTTGTAGTCAGTATAGGCAATGTAGTATAATCTTGTCATAAACAAACAAATAAATGAAAAGAGTTGAGATGCAGTTCATTGGTCCAGAGCTTACATGCACCTGGGAACAACTCTAGTAATGAGAAAAATCAGACACAAAGTTTTCTTGTTTCAGCGGGAATTAAAGCCAAGGTTGCCCAGGTTGGCCTCCAACTTGAGATCCTCCTGCTTTCAGCCTCCCAAGTACCTGAAATCACATGGGTTTGTCAGACATAAACCTGCCATACGATTAAAGACAAAAATGAAATAGAGGTATAGGGTATAGCATGGAGCTTTTTCTAATGACCTGGAAAGGAAGCCAATAAGCCAGATTTCTTGTGGGTAGAAAAGGGGTCCACAACCAAGTACATATTCAGTGCCTTGGGGAGCAGGATGGTCAGAGTCAGTTAAAAGAAGAGGATTCCCAGATCCACAAGAGCTCGAGGAAGGAAAGGGAGGGGCAGACGGGGACAAGCTTGAGAGTGCGCAGGAGAGGGCTCCCCTGCCAATGCCCAGGGAAGGTGTGGCCAGCAGCACCCACACATGCTGTGAGATGGTGACAAAGACCCCACAGATGGCCACAGCAAGAAAGACCACAGGAGAATACGCTCTCCTGGAAATACCCTTTAACTTAGTTTTAAAAGAGGAACACTAGTGCTAGTCTGTTTTTGCTGCTATAACACTGTGCCACGTACTGGGTAATGAATAGCTGCAGGTTCATTGTACTCAAGGTTGTGGAGCTAGGCAGTCCAGCAGCTTGGCCAGAGTCGGGCGGGGGCCTCCGCGCTACATCCCAACACGGGGAAGGACACACGAGCACTGGTGACAGAGAGGGCAAGCAGGGCTGAGCTCAACCAATCCACAACAGGACACAATGATACTGAGCCACCCGGAGGGTGGGGCCCTCACCACCCAACCATTTCTGAAAGGTTCTCAGGAGTGGATGCTGTTGCCATGGCAATTACATTGTATCACGAGTTTTGTAGGTAAAATTTAAAACATAGCAATTAAGGATTAGTTCAGATTCTCACAGACAGGTTTCTGTTAAGGGAAAGATGGAAACAGACAGACTTCAAAAGTAAGGCTGACCCTAGCTCTGCAGCCCGACCCTACCAAGCAGGAAAGGCAGAATCTCTGGGCAGTCTGTTCTGACCAGGACTGGTGACCACCCACGCAGGGACAGACATGACAGCAGTTGAGTCCCAGGAGGTCAGTGTCCACATCAGCACACTCCCATGCCTCTGTTTCCCATGTGATATTCCAATGGCAAACAGTGGTGGCTGCAGGCAAGGCCACATGATTTGTAGACCAGGAGTGCTGTGGTACATACTGTCCTTTACTAACTGCCCAACTGGCCTTCAACTATCTGCTATGTGGACTCTTGAGTCTTCTCCCCAAGAAGTCTAGCTCTGATCTGCTGGCAGAAAAATAAAACAGGGCAAAAATTTATTGGGTTTGGGATGCTGAAGGTCAGTCTTGGACCACAGTGCATCTACCAAGCCAGCCAGGCTCCACCGAAGTGACAACTACCCTGACTGGTACTTCATTATTTCTGTGTTTTTAATACATGACACAGTCCATATTCTCGAGTGGTGTTTAGCATCTTTCTCTGTGCACTCAAGCTTTATATAGGTGCTGCTGCCGACACATCAGTTTTGGTGAGGATGCCGGCCCCAACATGGTCCTTCCCCCACAGCAGAGTGGACCACACCCAGGCCCCCTCCTGCTGAGGATTTCTCCCTATTAGAAGCATAGAAATGCAGTCGGTCTCTGTCTAGGCCCAAGTTCTGCTCTGTCATTCACCTACTGGGGCCTGCTGGTTACTGGTCACATGCTTCCGTGTCTCTCCTTGCTGGTGCTCGCTCGGTCCCCACTGTGGCTGTATGCTCCTGTTTCCTTCCTGTCCCAGCGTGAGATAAAGCTGCTCCATGGCCTCACCACCCCTGGTATCACTGAAATTTCAAACTGTGCCAACCAGATCACTATGAATTGACTTCCGTTATTTCTGTCTCATTTGCCCAGTTGCCAGCGAGACCACGTGTCTTCGCTACATTTACAGGCTGGCTGCTTTGTTTCTTCTGCTACTGCCTGCCTGTGGTGCTTCATCCTTCCCAGCTCTCTGACGGTGGGGACTTTGTCTTCTGGATATTGCCCTTTCTCAGCTATCTGTGTGGCCAAATCTCTACGTCTGTGGGAGCCTTTTTCATTTTATGATACATTTAAATTTGCAAATACATATTAAAATTTTGCTTTTTCAATCTTTGGCCAAGGGTATTGTTTAAGAACGTTTTTCTTTTTGGGGGGTGGGATAGGGGAGGGTCTACAGCGTGTTTAGGGTCTTACTACTAGATCAGACTCGTAGTGATTCTCCTGTATACGGCCTCCCAAGAGCTGGGATTACAGGCATGTGCCACCATGTCCAGGCTCTAAGAACATTTTTTTAAACTAAGATTACTAATATATTCTGATAGATTTTCTTTCAAAAGCTTTAACTTTTAGCCACTTGCCAGTCCAATTATTTCAATACAGGAAGACCAAAAATTGTGTATTTTTTTCATTAATTTTTATAAGATACTATAGCAGGAAATACAAAGATGACAATTTTATTCAATACAAGAATCCATGAATCTGAAATAAACCCGCCTGAGCAGCACTCAACTGCATACACAAATGTGCTTCCTGAGTGACGCTCAGGGTAAAAATGTTGTAAGGTTAAAAATGC